TCTAGGGGGCGCCAAAGATGACCCAAAAATCCACATTCTTAAAAGTCATTTTGGCCACTGCAGGAGTACAGAGTACTGCAGTTCTAGGGGGCGCCAAAGATGACCCAAAAATCCACATTCTTAAAAGTCATTTTGGATTATACAGGGGCAGGGGCTCAAGTTTTTTCCAGTCGTTTATACAATATGGAAATTAATGTGAAATTAAAAAACAAAGTATTAATAGAAAGGTAATGACTGTCCTGTGTAGGTGACAGTGATATCCAATAGGCTAGGCACTCACGAGGCTGGCTGTGGCAAGTGTAAGTGAAAGCAACACGCACTGGAAGGAAGAACAGCAAACGCCGATGAAGGAAAAGGGTCTTTGCAGTGATGGGCGTTACCAGAGAGGGCGATGGCCAGAGGACGCAAATGGGACAGGGAGGCAGCGCGTTGGGGGGGGAACACGGCTCGGGCCCGCCAGTGCCCCAACGGGGCCCTAGTTTTTTATTGTTCCTTTTTGTGGTTTTGCATTTCCTTATTGTCTTTCAGTATTCAATCGTCATTTTTTTTGGCATTCAGTGCTCAATTATTTTTCATATCACAAACGTCTTGGCAGTTGACCTCTGGGGCCTCCATAGTCAGCATACCCACAACTCCAAGACACTCTGCAGTGTGAAAATAACTCCTAACCCAACATTGGAAACAACAGAAAATATATCCCAATCATCTACATTATAAATTAAATATCAATAATCCAAATAATCATAAATAAATAAATGGGGACCACCAGGGGGGCCTAGACCCCTGCTGTCTTTGTTGTGGTTACGGCCCTGTACCTCACAGCTAAACACAGTGGGCATGTTCCCCCTTCTGTCTTAATGTTTGGAGACACAATTTTGTTGTTTTGACAGCAGACAAAGACAGGCACGTCTACATGTTCAGCAGTGGAAATGCATACATTGAGTCACATGACCACATTAGAACCCCGAGGGTACTAAAGACCCCCACAGCATGTGTAGGGAAAGAAAGTAGGCCAGCATGCTTTATAGGTTGTATTGTGTTTGACTCCTCTACTCTGTGGTTTCATTTGTGATGGAGACCTTTTCCTCCTTTACCAGATTTTGTTTTCATTCGCCACTAATTATTTTGGACGCGTGATTAGCCATTTTTGAATTTAACAATCCAGTGCACAAACACTTGACAAAAGCACACCAGTCTTCATCAATATATGATTTGGTAATTCAATTTTTCCAAGAGGTTCAAATCTTTAATTTTAGAGACCCAAAGACTGCCTTTAATTTTGCAACAAAGTGCCAATTTTGCAAATACGATCTCTGAATCTAACAAGAAGCATGTCTGATGATTTACAGATTCAGTTCCCCTGAGGACAGACACTCGCCGTTTCAAGGACAGACTGGTTGTTAAGTAAAGAGGTCCATCAGGAGGACCTCTTTACTTAACTGACCTGAGACCCACTCTTTCCTCATCTTAACCATCATGATCGAAACAATTTATAGCAAACAGCAAGTTTCGAGAAAAAAAAAAAAACAAAACTCTTCAAGCAGGTAGAAACCTCCAACAGAACCAAATTCATATTAGACAGTCAGTGAGGAGTAACCACTCATGTCAAAACACAATAGAGAAACATTGTGCACATGTCAAGCAGCAACCTCCAGTCTTCAGAATGAAGCAAATACAGAGATCTTAAAGACTGCAGTTCCTGAAGTGTCCACCAGAGGTTGTTTGCAGAGGCACCAGATGACACGAACACACTAAGCCAGAAAAGTCATTTTTGGAGCAAAAACAAACATGACTACAGCCTAATTCACACTACATTTTGTCTGAATAGATCAGAGCTCCCACGGCAACTACTGTACGGGGAGTTATTTGTTTATTTATTTAATTTACCGAGCACATGTAAACAAATTAGGGTCCGCCATCTTGGCTCATGCCCAACACATTCAATATACAATGAGGTGATGACAACAATGCTTCCCAAACTTGAGATTTTGCATAAATCCTGTTCACTTATTCTATTAAGTTTCAGCTTCTTCTCTACTTTGTTGACAAGTTTCACAGCAAAGATTCATGAAAAGTGATTGAATCTTGTGTTCGAAGAAAGCAGAATGAGTGCATTTGTGAGAAAAAACACTACTTACTTATTTACTGGTCAAATCAGCTGAGTGTAGTAAAGTTTGACTCAGGACTTCAGACTTTCCAAAGGACAGCTTTTTATCCTTTTAATATATATATATTTTTTTATGTACAATAAACACAGCAACCTCCTCTCACCTCATTTCCAACCTTGGAGCAAACCTCCTCTGCTTTTATAGGCCCGCTCAATCAGCACACTACCTGGAGCAGAGCGTACCACAGCACAGAGAGGGGGAGCTCACATTTCTCTACGGGCAAAGACACCAAAAGAAACTCTTAGATTAAACCTCATATCATTTACTTAACTGAGTGGTACCCAAAATAAGTAAGTCATATATGTTCACGCACAGAAAATGCTAATATGAAGAAAGGGAAAAATATTTTGCAAAAAGAGAAACCCCACAGTTGGTCTGAGTCTGTGATGTCTGCAGTGACATCACTGAATTTTTAAAAAACCAGGAAGTGGTGAGCTGAAGTTTTTCTGACTGCAGGAGCACATGGTGAGCCTGAAAAGGAACAAACTAAAGTAAGTATTGATCGAAACAATTCATCTTTGCATTGGCTACCTGTGTCTTTTAGAGTAGATTTTACGGTTCGTTTATTAGTTTTTAAAGCTCTAAATGATCTTGGTCCTTCTTGTTTATGTAATTTGCTTTTACCATATGATCCTTGTAGAGCCCTCAGGTCTTCAGGTAGTGGTCTTTTAATTGTTCCCAAAGTAAAAACTAAAACGTACAGTGAATCATCGCTTCAACATCTGTGGAACAGCCTACCTGCAGACCTGAGAGCGACACCTACTGTTCATATTTTTAAAACTAAAGACCTACCTTTTTAGTCTGGCATTATGTGATTTTACACGATTTTAGTCCTAGAGTAACTATTTTGTGTTTACTTCTTTTTAATTTACTTTCTTTTATTGTTAGATTTTAAGGCTGTTTTATTTGATTTACTTTAATGCTTTATCACCTTTATTATATTTTATCATGGTTTTATCATTTTAGTCCTCGATCCAGTGTTTCCTCAGATTTTTTAACACAAGATAGTGTTTCCTCAATCATCTGTGGCATGTTGAAGGGTCCTCACCTGGTCTTTTGATTATGCATCTGTGTGTGTGAGTGCTGTATGTGTTGAATGGAAGTTGGGAGGGTGGTTGGGGTTTGATATTTGTATTTTTATTTATTTTATTTCATTGTTTTTTAACATCCTGTGCGAATGAACAGCACTTTGTGCTACATTCCATGTATGAAAAGTGCTTTAAAAATTATGTTTGATTGATCTGACAGTTTAATCCTGAAACTAAAGAGTTGCAGTGATGTACATAAATGAATTTCACTTAGAAAAATCGATAAACTCTGGAATAAATCAGGAGTAAAAGCAAGTATAAAACCAAAATGAAGTGCTACTCAGTTCTGTTGACAAGAATATATTTTTATATATAAAACAAGTATAAATGTATATTTCCAAGGTGTTCCTGAGTGTGACCTTTAACCCCAAACTGCCCCTACTGGCTGCACCCTGCAGAGTGTGAATGGGATTAGTTAATACTGGTGCACACACTTCACATACCAGCTTCAGTGTCTGAATGTGGTGTGAATGAGTAAATGTGATGGAGCTTTAAGTGGTCAGAAGACACAGTCCATTTTACAGAGGGAGTGTTCCCCATCCAGACAACATAAACAGCCCACACCTGTGAGCTGCTGTGTTTCTTTGTGACTGAATTGACGTCTCTGCCACATGCACGTCTCCCTGCAGAGCCCACAGGACGACCTTGACCAGCAGACAGTCTGAAAAACGACCACAGCTCTCTTTCGTCTTCGTCTGTCGGGCTCTGAGCATGAAAAACACATTTACAGCTTGTGTGGCGTTTGCCCCGTGGGATGCTCTGTGTCTAAACAAACACTAAACCTTTCTTGTCACCAAGGCTCCGGCTCCTGGAGGCATGAAGGGCAAGTGAGCACAGATTTCTGCAGGCAAACAACACAAATATACACTATATCCTAGTAAATAGTCATATCCTTGTAAAAACAAACAAACATACGTTATGATTATGTTTTCCATCCTCGCTCAGAACACTAAAAATAAGGTTTTTGTAATGTCTGGGTGTCCCTTTTTGATTCTTACAAAATGTTCAAACCAGCAGGATGAAAGCTCAAATCGATAGCTGACAAAAAAGGTACGAGCACTGTGACCTGCTAAAAACTCAAACAACTGTGTTAAAATGTGAGGTTGTTTGCAGGATTATCTGCTTCCTGGGCAAATAACTTCTTTTCAGATAATTCTCATTACTTGGGAAAGTGGATTTCAGATTTTCAGGAGCTATCAGCCTGCAGAGTCATGTCAGGTATCATGTATTGGAGGACCAAGTCCCATTTCCCTCCAGCACTGGTCCTGACATCTCATTAAAAGCATAATTTTTGCTGAAATCAGTTTCATATTCATTAGGGGGAGAACTAATCTTATAATTAAACTTTATATCTTTGACAGACATAAATATTTGAATCCATAATCACCCAAAGAAGCCAGGACTCTCAGCCTGAACCTGACAAAACTGAAGGGTAGAGACGAAAGGGAGCCCTCTGCTGGTGAAACTGGTAACTACATACAAAAATCACCTCCATTTCATTTTCACCTCACCTCACCTCTGTTTACTTTATTCTGGTTGTATCTCTCTTCCCTCATTGGCATCGTTTCATATGTTTTAAACGACACGAAAGAGTGACATGACACCACATCTGAGCTTTAATACCATCACTATTGCTTGAGTTTCAACCTTTCACTGACGGCCCATGCAGTGATTCCCACTACAGTCATGTCTGTTTTTTTTTTCCTCAGAGGCACAAATTTAATAAAGAAATAGGCAAAAACAGTTTCTTCATGATTGCACACATGTATTTATGAAGAAGTATTCAACAGTAGACAATGGGTGGTTATTGGTTTACATAGAGGGATATGGATACCAGTACTATTTGGAGATATATAAATGGATTATGTTAAATGGAATAAAAGTGAGTTTTTTTTGTCTTTTTTTTGTACAGATAATAGAAATATGGCAATTGTCAAGGCACATGTTAACATGACCACCTTTTACAGCTGTAAGAAGACATCATGTTGTGACATCTGTGACTGTTTCAGAGTCCGACAACAAAGACGGCATATTGATTTTTCTGTAACCTCCACAGTCTGAGGATGAGACACTCAATGAGCAGCCAGGGCACAGAAAAATCCATATCAGATGGTCAGTTTTGCATTTTTTAAGCATCAGAATACAATGTTTTTTCATAAGAATACAACGAAAAGTACAATACTGAGTGATACAGTAAAGCTGCCATATTAATGCTGTTCTTGTTCAGGATAATTTGTAGTGGAGATTACAAAATCAGAAGAGAGAAAGAATCAGAAATTGGCTGAGTTGCACAAAAAGGGAGAGTAAATATGGCGAATGAGGGCAACTTTTCCGTCTCTACAGAGACAGGTCACAGCGAGAGATAAGAGTGGTCCCTTGTTTCCATGTTACAGGATGTTTCAGTGAAGGAAAATAAACCCCTTAGAGAGTTGAAATGCACTTGGGGATAAAACCTGTATCACCTGACTTCCCTGATTTAGTGCAGCTCGGCAGGACTGTGATGGAAAACCAAGGCCCACTGAAGAAAACAGGGTTTGAGGATGCTTTTGACAGCAAGCACAAGCACATTTAAATGGCTTTATCTTTGAGCTGCAGAGAAAAATGTACATGTTTGCGCTGTGTGTGGCTCAGTGTGGTCGTATAAACAAAGTAACATTCAGATTAAGGTGACAGATATAGACTGCTGCTGCTGTGAAACTACAGCTTTGCATCAAATCGTTGGTTTCTAACTTTTCTCACTTTTAGATTGACTCGATGCTTTTCTAAAATGGACGTAATTTGAGGATAAAAATGTTTGCTTCCCTTGTTGTCATCAGAGTTATTCCATGGACTGTAAAAGAAGTGGAGCTACAACTATCCTGCCTTGTATCATCAGCTCAGACTGCTGCTGCTGCTGGTGTAATGGTATTTTCTCTGCACATTTTTGGCCTCTAAGTCTTGGATCATCTTATACTGGTTTCTTGAACGTGGCACTGCGCTTGAATGGCCTCTCTTATCACTAGATCTCCTTTGGGATGTGTTTTAACAGGAGAGTTGCGTCATGGATGTGCAGCTAGATGACGTATCGATAAAATATGCCAAAATCTCTGACTAATATTTGCCGCATTTCGTTGAAATTATGCCACAAAGATGTGAGGCAAGAGGCATAGAAGGTCCATGAATGTGCAGATATTATTTTTCAAACCTTAAGTCTGAGTCCACTTCTTTGCAAACAATCTATGGAGGCAGTTATGTGACATCCAAACCATATTTTCTCTTATTTCCTCTGATTTTAACCCACATGTCTGACATGTTCACAGGATTATATGGAATGCTTTTTGCACAAATCATGCAAATCAACACTTTTGTCACAGATTTAGGCATCAAATATTAAATTTAAAGATTGTATTTCAGCAAAATATCTGGTTATTTTTAACTATAAATAATATTAATTGGTATATACAGCTGTGTTTTCAGGTAGATATAAGATTCTTTACTCTGTTTTTTACTAAACCTGAAGGAAAAAGTCTCCAATCTGTTGAAGTTTTGACTGATCTAAAAGTGAATTTCTTTTAAAATATTTTTTAGGATGTCTACAGCGGATATAAATGAAGATGAAAACAAAGCAGTGACTACGTCTAGTTTCCCTTTTAAAGACACATTTCTTTGGCTGTTTGGATTTGCTTGACGTATCCTCCAAGCCGGCTCAAGCTCCGTCCTGATAAATGCACTTGTGACCTTCTTACTTCATCATTATTAAAGTGTATCTTCAGGTAAAATATGGCAAGCGAAAGCTTTAAACTTAGCAGACAGGACAAAGTTCACAATACAAAGTGATACAAAACATAAGCATGAGAGTCTGTGGATAAGATCTGGTACAGGCAAATATACTGTGATGTTGATGTTGATGTCTTTTGTCCTCCAGGATTCGTTGCTGCGGAAATGCAACAGCTCCACTCTGCTACGTCTGGAGCAGGAGAGGCAGAAAATCCCCATGGCACTCTTTCATCCTGCTGAATAAAGATAAGAGGACATGAGGTAAATGACTGTTTCTCGAAAAACAAAGTCAAAATCTCAAAATGGGATTTTTTTTTTATTTTTTTCCACTCGGTGAGGAGGATACCCTCGCCTTTTGCCAGTCATAGCATTATGGGTGTTGTGTTGTTACTTTTGTCCTCATAAAACTGTACAGTAGTCTCACAATACAGCTTATTTTCTGAACAAGACATCACGGTTTAGAACCACAAGATCTTTTAAAGGGATATTCCGGCGTAAAATTAATTTAGGGTCAAACACATCGTAACACTGAGTTAGGCACCCCCACGAGAGATGAATGTTGCCGACCGCTTGCTTCTCTAGTTATATTAACTTTAGTACAACCGCACGATAGCAATACACAGCGGTCTGAGGAGCCATAAACAAACCTCAACCAAAACACCACTCTATAGCGAACTTCTGTGGGGTGACGCAGCTCAAGGAAGAACATTTATGATCATTTCTTCATGGAAATATAATCAGACTGAGACGCTAAGGCAGAAGAACTACTGCGTCTGCAGTGCAAAATGATTAATATGATGATTATTACTTCAAGGAAATGATAAAGAAATGATCATAAATGTTCTTCCTTGAGCTGCGTCACCCCACAGCAGTCCGTAATGGACTGGTCTGAGGTCTCGCTACAAGCAAGCGTCTGCTGGAAGAGAGTAGGTGAGTTGTGTTTAGTCTCTTTGCTAAAGAAATTAGGCAAAGTTAAAAAGATGTTTGGTGGCTAGTGCTATGGCAAGGACCTTATATGTACTGTTGATGAAGTTAGGTGCTGTTCTGAGCATTATTTGTGGCTATAGAGTGGCGTTTTGGTTGAGGTTTGTTTATGGCTCCTCAGACTGCTGTGTATTGCTATCCTGCGGTCGTTACTAAAGTTGGTGTTACTAGAGAAGCAAGCGGTCGGCAACATTCATCTCTCGGGGGTGTCTAACTCGGTGTTACGGTGTGTTTGACCCTAAATTAATTTCAAGCCAGAATATCCCTTTAAGGTACAACCATTAACATGTTTTATAATTTCAAAAACTGCATGAAAAGGATCATTTATCACTTATTATTCAAACTCACAGTGGAACATGTTTACTTCTGTGGGTCGGTGGCAGTCCAGATAGTGCTGAATGTTGAGTGTGTGCTCAGAGGACGACGTGGTGGGCGGAGCCGTCAGAGGGCTGATGTTGGCGTTCTCCTGAATTATAACTGACGTCCCCACCACCGGCTCGCTGTGACTCCACTGGAAGTAGCAGGAACCTTGAGGAGGGCTCTGATCTAGAGTCCCATCTGCCCCCCTCAGGCCTGCAGACCCTGAGAGAGCCAGAACGTCGCCCCCTGCCGGACCGGAGGGAAAGTGCTGGTTGTACATGCAGCTGCTTTGAGTTGCTGCCTGGCCACATGCCAGGCCTCCCTGCTGAGGCCAGGGTCCAGCAGTCTGGCTTTCTGGGGTTTGGCTGTGGCACGCTGGCATCAGCCCGTGTCCATTCTGCATGACACCAGCATGAGTCTGCTGCTGGTTCTGGGGCCACTGCTGGACCTGCTGGTTTTGGGGGCTCCCCTGCAGACACGACCCTGTGAAAGGAACTTGAATGTTAGGCGCGCTGGAGGGATTAAAGTCACTGCACGGAATCATGGGAGGCAAAATGTCCATAACGCCTGGTGCTACATTGTTTGGTTGTTTGACAGCGCTCTGCTGGAAATTTCCATTTTGAGCGGGACGCAAACTGTTCTGAGGACCCAGATGGAGTTGGGTGGACTGCATCTGAGGGCAGACGCTGGAGGCCTGCTCACAGGACTGAAACGAGGTGGGGATATCAGGAATAGTGAGCTCTGGGAGCTCTATGGATGGACTGAAAATGTCCTGGAGTTGCAGATGTTGGAGGGAGGGCAGGTTTGAGTCAGGCTGAGGGATCAGGGGTCCCTGGTGGGAGAGTTTCTGCGTGTTGTTGAAGACCTGAGCACCTGTGTTCTGCTGGTGGGCATAGATGCCGTTCATTTGAAGGCATGCCTGATCAGGGCTCGGCGTCTGAAACAACTGCGGATTAAGTCCGTTAGCAGCCTGAGTGAAGAGGTCCTGCTGATGGTTGTTGGCTGAGAGGCAGGCTGGCGTGCTGCCGTTCAGACCGTCCTCCCTGTTCTCCTTGAACAAAACGTTATCAATGTAGTCAAAGATGTCGTTGGTGAGGATGCTGTCCAGCTCAGAGCTCATGTTGCTCTGCTGAAGCTCCTCATGGCTTAATCTCTTCAGGGTGTTCTCCCACTCCATCAGCTCCGCCTCCTCCACATCCAGATTCTGCAGCGCTGCACAGAAGTCACTATTCTGCGCCATTTCCTCCAGGTTATCGATCACAGCCATCACTGACTGTTTGGCCTCCTCTTTCACCACAACGGGGTTTTCTGTCGTAGACACAGACCCGCTCTCCTGCCACGCATCGCTGGGAATGCTGACCAGAGCCCGGGTGTCTATGAAGACCTGATCCAGGGGTGTGGGGGGATCGATTGTCTTGGTGTAGGCTGTCTCGTCCTGTCTCAGGAAGCACTCCATCAGAGAGATGGGGGCCTGGTCCTTGTTGGCGCTCTCATTACTGAACATTTTGTTGGTGTCTTCACTATTGAACATTTTGTTGAACTGTAACTGATTGACATCCATTGTGGGGCTGGAGTTGTAGAGGACGGCCTCTCCCGTAGTGAAGGTGAAGGGGAGCTGCAGCCTCCTCTGACGAAGGTACTCCTCCCCCTCGGCGTTCCTGGAACAGACCAAACAGATCCTCTGAGTCTAAAATAAAATCTACAAGGCTTGAGTCATCGATCTCTTAAAGTCGAGGCAGCAGATCTGAAATTATGAGAGGATCAAACACTCACGCTAGGGCTTTCTGATAGGCGATGATGAAATCAGGTCTTCCTCCTTTGAAGATCAGCTTGGCGTTGGCCTTCACCCACACCCAGCCTTTGCTTTTACTGAGGAGCCTGAACACAGTCATACCGCTCTCTCCTGTTTTAATCACTGTGAGACAAAAACAGAAACAACACAGTCAGAGGTTTATAACTCTTCTTCTACATTATGAAGTATTTGCAGTAGTCAGGTTGTGAAAAAAAAATCAGGGGGCGATTGTGGATTTTATTGTTTGAGACAGATATTTTGTTCTGGTGGGAAACCAACTATGTACCAATTTTATTGTTACTTAAGCACAAAGATAATTATTATATTACATAATCCCTCAGGTTGAGCTGTCCATGTCACTTGGCCATGATACTGAAATCGCAACAGCGTCACCAGCGCTGCTCACTGATGTCATCTTTTTAGAAAAAAGGAAAAAAAAGTATTTTACTAAATATGTGCAAATCCCCCTACTGCTGGGTTCTCGCTCAAACAATCACAATATAGTGGAAAAACACAGGTGTTGTGGAAAACACAGTGATGGGGATGGGATTTATTTACAGCCGACCTTCCAAGGTGCAAAAATATGTACAAAAGTGCAAAAAAAATAAACGGTCAAATACTACTTAGAAAATGTACAAGGCAAAAAAGAAAATGCCAACAAGGCAGGATTTCCATTATAACTCAAGATTCTCACTCAAGAGAAAAAAACAGAAACACAACAGCAATAGAAAAGTCTGTTTGGTAGTTACCTTCCATACAACAAACTCCAGACTCAAAGGAAGGCCAAGGAAGCCGTCTTATAAACCCCCCTAGCCCCTCCCAGTTGGATGTTATCAATTACATAAGTTTGGAAAAATCTAATTTATTCACATTTAAACCATTTTTAACTTTCAGACCTTTTTCTTTAATCTTTTGCCATTTTAACTAAGTTTTTACAAAAATCAGTGGAGCATTAATTTTTAGGGATTCATGACAGAAAACAAGGGAATTAATTTTTCTTGCATCATGTGACCACTTTGACCCTCCATACCCACCTATTTTACACACGGAAATTTTTGGCTCTGTTTCCTCATTTGGAAACATGATGGCGTGAATGGATGCCTGGCAGGTAAATGGAGGGATGAATATCTATGTTGTGAACGTATGTTTAAGTTAACTGATAGAGCTCCAAGAGTGTAACCTTGGTTACCCTATCCAACAGGGAGAAGGAAAAGTAGCACGGTTAAGTGGGTAATAAGTGACGCCGGCAGGGAAATGTTTGGCGTGTGTGTAGGTATGTGTGTGTGTGTGGCTCCATGTGCTGCCTGCAGTCAGTGAGGACGCTGCTCCGTCACCCCCACTAATCTCTAAAATTGCGGTAATATTTCTAATGTTAAAATAGTAGTAATATTCCACATTCATTGACCCAAATTGCTCAAGGGATGGAAAGTTGGGATGACTGTTTTAGAAGGGGGATGATTTTGACCTTTTTCATTTTAGAGGGGATGCCATCCCTCCTCATCCCCCCTCATCTCGAGTACTGAGTATTTGCTGTTGTAACTAAACCACGATTACAACATGAGGCAATGAAATGTGTTCTTTGGGAAAGCAACAGAAACATATGACCTCTATTAACTTTTTCTGCCAAGTAAGAATTTAGTCTTTTGTTGGAAACCTTATCATCAAATCAAAGCGTTGATGCTGAACAAATAACAGTTATTTATTTTGATGTAAAAGTAGCTGGCTTACTGCGCATGTGGTTGTCCGCGCAGTACATCATGTCAGCAGCGTGGATGAATTGGTAGCCGGAGCCTTTCATACACAGTTCAGTCTCTGAGTATCCCAGAATAACCTTCCCCCTGAAGGAAGAGAGAGGAAAAGGACCATATATTAAGTTAATCTTCTACTGGAATAAACTTCAGCTAACAAGTACCAGTTGACGAATTAAGGCAGTAAAAAAGTTATTTTTATAAGGAGTGGAAAAACACACAAAGATGCTGTTGTGAGTTTGACCATCTGGATTTTTTTCCATTGCACAATTTATTAAAAATGATCCTGCCAGGAAAAAAAACAGAAGAGTTCGAAGCACCTGCTATCAATGCCCATCGGTGTGAAGTCCAGTTTGTGTTTGGACTGAAAGAGGAGCATCTTAGCCCTGACCTCCACGATGGACGGAGCCTGGATGGGCATGGCGATGGCGAAGAGAGCCAGCTGTGGTTTGTTACACGTCCCGTTTTCCTTTAAAAGCTTCTGACCGTGGAGGTACTTGAGCCGCCCCTGGAACTTCAGAGCCTGGTGTGATTGAAACATGAGAGGAGTAAGTCAGGAGCCATTTAAAAGTCCCGGCGTGGACAAAAAACAGCAACCGTTAGCTTTCTGGACTTTAAATGTTCCACTAACCAGAAAGCCTGAGGAGTTATCCAGGAGGCAGCGGAAACGACACACAAAACTCCTCTCCAGGAAGGAGGAGTTCTCTGGAGGAAGCTGCTCAGGACTGTACGACATTACGCTGTCACAACTCTGCAAGGCTGGAAACACAAAAAGACACAAAATTATACAGAAGAAACCTTTAATGAGCGAATTAATTTACAGTTCATGTTCTTACCATTTCCATCAGCGTCAGCAGCCGGGGGGTTGAAGGCGAAATGAAGCTGCTGTCTGAATAACGCCCGGTCATCAGTGTGGATGAGCTCAAACACACTCTGATGGATGACGTCCGACTGCAGACAGAGAAAAGAGATCAAACTTCAGTCATTTTAGTAAATTACACTCCAGGCTTCACCTGATTTGAAGGCAAACAGAGGAAATGCATTTAATCACTACATGGTCAGAAGACACAGAACACAGCGTTCCTGCTGATCTGTAAAAAGTCTCAAATTAGATAAAAGAAATTTAAGGAAATGTCCTTAAAGGTCACAATCTGGTTAATATCACATGATTTTTCCTTGTTTCTAAATTTCTTCGTTCACCTGATGAAAGCCCAGGTAATCCTTGATTGTTGTAGAGGTGTGAAACACTGTGCCGTCTGACGTGACCACCAAAACAAAGCCGTTCAGCGCCTGCAGAGGAAACAGACCGTTAGCACAGAGGTTCCTGCAGAAAAACCTCTGACGTTGCTGCACACTGTTCAAAGTTCATAGCTTTAGCAGTCTGTGTGGGTGCCAAACCCCTATTGCCAGATACTCAGATATATTTTAAGTTTTCATTCATCAGCATGTTGGCTGTTTCATATCAAAGTATAAAGTAGACATCATGGATAAGATGCAAGCTTTTATGTCAAAGATTAGAAGCTGGGGAGTTACAGCCAAACGCTACCAGGCGAGAGGGCTTGGGGTTGCAGCCACACTGTCATCACCAGCCTTCAGTCTCCCTTAAAGGTTAACATCCTCAAGTCTTTGCTGGTTGCACACTGCTCCAGTTACACAAGTAGTTACATTTGTAAATTGGCTGTGTTGGGTTAAACTGGCATCTAACTAAATTTTCCAGATCGAAAACAAATGCTGCATCATCTGTGCTTGTTTACATCCATATAGTAGAACATGACAGCATTATGGCTGCAGCCTTAAACCAAAGCTACAACCCTGTGTGGTTGAGGACAGCTGGGATATAACTTACACACAACATTTGACCAGTATTTTTAACTCTAGTAACAAAAACATCAAGAATAACTTTAACTAACCAGTAAATCTGGCGCTAACTAGTGAGGAGAAGGTGTACAGAAATTACAAATTATACTTTTTTATAAAACTGGTTGATGTTTTAAGTGAAATTGTTTAAAAAAGACTTAATAGTTTTATATTGTGTAAATGAATCTATAAAAATCTTCATAAATAATCTTAACACTTTTCAAATTTGACTATGGTTGGGGTTATAGGGACATTGCATTGTTCCATCAGCATACGTTTGCATGTGCATTTAAGTGTTTAATAAAGTCCTACACTTCTGTTCATGACATTTGCTTTGTAATTTTTTAATGCTACCTGATCAAACTTGCAGCACAGTTTACATTTGAATGTTGTTTCTCATATATGACTTTGTTGTCATATTCACATCCTCGTAAAAAGACTGTGTCACTAACCGTGAGTCCCCGTAGACCAAACAGAATCTACAGGTTTGTCCTGCCTTTGTAACACCACGGTGTGATTTGTCACTCTGACTGATGATGTACAAAAGACGCTGAGTTTCAAACCCCAACATTAAACCAACAGCTGCTGCTCTCAAAGGCTCTTTGTGTTTAACAATCAGCACCTGTCGTAATCATTATGTAAGACAAAGTATGAAAATGTCCCCCGACAGGTGACAGCCAGAAACCAGGTGCAGGAGCTTTGACAGTCCCAGGTTTTGTTAAGAGCCACCGAGTGTGGCTGAGCTTTGGCAAGACGCGACGAGACGAGCAGCCTCGCCTGTGAAAACTTCCTCCTGAGCGGATGGAGATGGATTAACTCTACACAACACGACTAACGCGCAAATAAACAAAGTCTGACAGCGCTGAGATGCATTCGAGGGCCTCAGGCTGTTCTCTATAAGGCTGTGTGGGTTTTTCTGTCGCAGTTTAAAGGTTAATTACACTATTTTTTTAGAGAATTACACAGGCGGTCTGCTTTGTCTTTTTGTGTGTTAGCTTTTAGCTCACTTGACTTCCTATTTTTTACCTTTTAAACTGAATCTTAGTTACTAAAACCTTTTATTTGGCCTGAATTCAAGATAGGGCGTATATTTCAGAGATGGAAAAGGTTTGAGTTCCTTTTATCGTTACATTTTTTACTGTCAAAGAAAGAAACTTGAGGGAACAAACAGAGTCAGTGTGTCTTAAACAAGTTAGTCCAAGGAAGTAAGAGACAAAGATACAAACATAACTGAAAATGAATTTAATTTCAAGCTGACCTCACTCCATTTAATCTGATTTAGTCTAATAGTATTTAATGTAATTCTGTTTGATACTTTGATGATCAATGAGTCTCTGTAATCTCGATCAAATATCTCTGAAGCCGCCTGTTCCTCGCGATCCTCCTGCATGACAGCGTATTCAAACAGCTGAGGGTCCTGTCATGTTTTGGCTTTGTTTGCGCTGCATATTTTCACGATTGTGTAGCTCCACGAATGCTTTTCTTTGATTTTGCGGCCATATTTCAAAGTCGAGTTAATCACCTCGGACAGTATTGACTTTAAACTAATGCCACCGACTGAAAGGCTGACTGTAAGAAGGCTTGACGTCTCTTTGCTTTTGTCAAATGTAGTTTAGAGTCGAAAACAAGGACTGTCAACTAAAAGCAAACAAATGAAACTTCTAAAAAGTAAGACGTGGGAAAATTTTTTTGAAAGAGTGACTCCGGCTTGTGTCATACCTGGAGCAGCAGTTCTCCTTCAGAGAAGCCTGGAGTGTCCACGATGTTCCCGTTCTGCCCGTTCACTCCAGGAAACGTCCGATAGCCGTTACTGCTCTTCATGGTGGCTGTTCGGAAAAGCAGACAGAAAAATAGCTTAGACGAAGACATCTTTAATAATGTCAGTCATTTTTTTTACATATTTTAACCCAGGTCATAGTTCAATCTATTTGGGTTTCTTCGTACATAGACGAGATTGCAGCATGTAAGTGAATGCAGACATACCACAGTTTAAAAACTGTTCTAATCCAAAACAAAAGCCTTTTCTTTGCATTTTTTTGGAAACATCTACACTGATGTGGCAATATTGTGAAATTTATCCACGCATGCACACAGATCCACAAAAAGGACTACAATGACACAGCAGTATTGGATATCTCAAGGCTGCACAAACAGGCTCTTTAACGGAGCAGGAGGCCAGTCCCAATACCCCAAATCTAACTTCTCTACAACAAACTATTTTGGTTATGGAGCAAAAATAAACCAAAGTTGTTCACAAAAATCAGCAATAAATTGCAGATAAATATACAGTAATCATCAATTATTAGTTGGTGGCATCATCATGACACCTCTCCTGAAAAGAGTTATCAGCTACCGGCTAGAAGACAGCAAAGAGATGTCAGCCGATGCAAAATCATCATATCTAGACTGAGGCCGCCTGCTTTGAAATGATTTTGGTCATAAACCCGAGCAGCACATGATTAAATCTCTGTTTGACGTGATGTAAATTTAATGTAGGAACCTCACAGTCATGTTCAAAATGTAACCTTTTAGGCATAATTTAGAGCAGGAGGAACAGATAATGGGCCTTTCATTGAGTTAACTCTGTAAATATCACATGTCTTGCATGCAGGAAGACTGTGTGTAACCTTTAGCACACTCAAATCAAAAGTCAATTATAAGACGTCAAAGGTCACAACTGGAAATAAACTTGTTATGTGACCCTCCTCTTCTGTGATTTAAAAACCTGAATCAGAAAGACAGACTGTGTTTGTACTTGAGCTGTTGGGTATTAAAGCATGCCAGCCAGAGAACAATGCCTGTTTAGACAGCTATTTCCAGGTACAGGATTAAAACACTCCACAACCTCTCTATTGTTTCTTTTTTTATGACAGCGATATGTGATGTACCTTTGTTTTCAAACCCCTCCCAGTGAAAGCAGACGTCGCATTACTCTACCAACACTACACAGGACCAGTTTGGCACCGTCACATCGTACAACAGCTATTCTCTTTCTCTGTTTGTTTTGGCTTTACCTCTGCAGCTCTTGGCAGAGCGGTGAGTTTTTTTCAGTCTTCGTCGTTATCCTCTCAGCAGCTCACCGTGCCATGTCATGTTAAGATTGTTTTCTCAAAGGCAGTAAGACTCATGATGTTACTCTCAGGGATGTAAACATGGGAAAGATTACACGTGATTGGTAAAACGTGTGTTTTGCTCACTTTAAAGGGATATTTCCCCTTTTATTGCTCAGTCGGGGCCACCTTCACCAAAGAGAATTAATAACTTTTAAAAATGGAGCTGCACAGAAAAAAGAGGACTTACAGTAACTACATGTCAACATCGCAAGCAGTGGGGGAGAATTTATATTATGTGTAATTAATCTCTAAAGTCTGTCCACAGCTTCATAGAGATTGCTGGAGGACGTGGGATTTATGACCTATACTAAAGCCCGTCACCAGAGGGTGCTGTTCGCACGGTGGCTTCACAGTCTTTGGTATGGACATCTATCTACAACTCTCTTGAAACAATTACGTCACACACAGCATAACTCTCTTAAGGCGCCTGCACTAGTTTGGCCAAAACGACCTTCACACGCGTCCTCCGTACTCTTCTTCCATCTTTTGGTGCATTTCCAGGGCAGCGTTACAGCGCCTCTATTGGCTTGGCATATACACTACATTGTATTCAGTTGTTATCAGTGATTTCATGTTCACACGGATATTTTCTGAGATGATTTCATCTTTATGGAAAACTGTTTCAAAAGGAAACGCTGATATATTGTTTTCGTTTCTTTGTGGACAAGGCCTTACTGGCAATTTCCACCGCATCCGTAACGGCTACGAAAAGGCCGTATCCGCCGATTGTAGCTGATCGTAACCATTCAAGTTAATGTGTCAATTTCCACCGGCTTCTTTCCATTCAGCTGCGGATCGCCGGACTCCGCAGCTAATCCAGACGTCGGAGCATGCCGGATAAATTCAGCACAGATTAACATGTGCTGGAAAGGAAGTCGGGCACAAACACAAAATAAAACATCTGACTTCTTATCAAAATAAAACACCCCGTGTTTCAGGCGGATTGGATTTCACACCATGCAAATGAGCGGGGAAGAACGAGAATAGTTTTAGACGTCATTTCACCCCGATGACACCATGGATGAGGAGATGCTGATTTTATAAGTCAAGAAGTGGATTTCCCCCTCGGGAAGGACGCAATCTACTGCTTATATGGTTCGCCTATGTGGCTATAGACAACCTGATATCACATGATTGCATGTGAATCCGCGGGTTCTTGTGAGTTTTTGCGATTCCTGCTGTCTGTAATCTGCCATGAAATTCGCCTCACAAACAGACCTGGTAGGAATTGGCGTACAGCGAAAATTGTCGCTGTATGTCGGATCGGAGTTGTTCCGGATATGGTGAAAATCCAAGGTTAGTGGCCTGGCTTGAACTTGAGCGCCACGCTCAATTTCTGAGTCCTTGTGGTTATTCTGCGCCACACTGAGTTTGATTTGCATCTCTCTGTCGTTTTTATAAGTTTCTTCGTGGTCTGTAGACTATTTTTCTTTTCTACACATGCTTGTGTGGTTTGTGTATCTCTGTGCAGCCCTCAGTTGAACATGTTCTACATTTGGCTACACTGACGATAAGACCGTTTTTAACATGCAGCGAAAATAATCTGAATGTGAGATCATGAGTGAAAGAGCAGAAGAGATAAAAGCAAATCCAATGATCTGGTTTGAGTTGAGCTTCAAATATTGATTCACCTCCAGAGGACAGGTTCTCATAGCTGGAGGAGAACAGATCTGGCAGCCCGCATATCTACACACACACACACACACACACACGGTATGGAAACACACACACACACACTTAACACTCTCTTGCATCTGTCCCTTGGGGTTCTGTTTTTATAAGTAATAGTCAAGTGTGGCTGTTGGCTGTTCCTTATCTGGACGACCACTACAGGAAAATCCAAGGATGTGGCCTCTCCCAACCCGTCCGTCCAGTCCTGTCACGCAACTTCTTTAAGGAGGGAAGGGGCCCCTAAACACTCCCACTTAAACACAGACACTTAAACACTCCCCACCCTCCTCCAAGTTAGAACTCAGACAGTGTTTACACAGACACACAGACCTGCACGGCCTGACAGTCACACATCAACACCACGCTAAGCACAAGAGCATCTGTGCATACAACCAGAACAAGCTCGAAAGAAAAGGGGGCAGCATGTGCAGGAAGTACGGGAACAAAATATCACCGTTAAGAACAAAAAAGAAAGATCCATGCAAACTTTATTCATCTCTGTACTGCAGCCAAACACAGACAGGCAAACACAGCCCAATCCAATTCAAGACCAAACTGAATAATCCACCACATCCCTCATGTAGTATTTTTTTCCCCTGTTTAAAGTTTGCGTGAGTAAGAGGACCGTCTGTTTGTTTTTCTCTGGGTTTTCTTCACTGAGCGGCGGACTCTTATTCATGTTCTCCTTCCTCATCTCTCTCTGCTGCTAACAGCGTAACAGCCCATGGCACTGCCGACTGGTTCGTGTAGAAGAAAAAATGTTAAATGATACTTGGCAAGAGCTCGAGCAGAAGTTGGAAAGAAATTCCAGTAAGTTTGTGGGAGCAAAAAGGAGGAAGAAAAACACAGATTACCACTTACATCAAACATGCACACCACCTCCGCAGAGAAGAAAGGGGAGTCCACATTGACCAAAATATTGTTGCACAACAAATTTTCCATTACCGTTTGATTTGTGTAATCTGATAGTTTGATGCAGCCTGCAGCAAAGCAGAAAAATTTGATTCAAGATTTAATAAATCTCATCCCACTCACAGCACATCCCACGACCTCAGATTCTCCACAAAACGTTTTATAAGTACCAAACCTGCAAAACACAACTCAGCACTTCTTCTTTTTTGGAGGGGAACATATCCCAAAGGTAATACTACTATTCACTATTGATTATGCATTTTAATAAATAACTCACTACAATTAAATGAAAACCAACAAAACTGCAGAATAACTTGAAGTTACAGACAGTTTTCTCAGTTACTGGCACACACTTACCAACAACAACCCTGGACCTAATTTCATCTCTGTAAAGCTGCACTTTGATATGCTGAGACCTGGACATGTGGACGGTGAAAATGTGAAAACATGAAGCCCCAGCCTGCCAAAGACTTGGCCTCAGGTGCATCAGGAAGTACACGCCTCAGTTTCAATACCAGGGATCCAACGATTGGGTACGTGGCATCTTTAGCAGCCAGATACGGGCCAAAATGTAACCAGCTTGACTCGATCTTTAAGCTTCAATTTATTTGTGTGATGTACTGTAAAGACAGTGCTGCCTTATTGAATTTCTAATGTTGGTTTATCAGGATTCTGTGGCAAAACCAAGAACAGATGAAAATACTCAGCAAAGACTGAACTTAGAAGAATTTTAGGTGATTCTAAGTTTTGACATCCAAAGAATTGGCCTGACTGGTGACCAATCTTGACACCCTGCTTCAGTCTATAACCCGAGTTTTATTTGTGAGGTTAATAACTCAGAGACCCGGTGTTCTCTACAGTAAACACATTCTGAGTGTTTCTGTGGCCTCTGTGGTCTTAAATAAACTTTTATAAAGCATGTAGCAGACTGTGACTCACGACTGAGCTGAAAAATAGATGTTCAGTCACCAACGTGAGAGTTTCAGGCTTACAGCTTCCTTTCCACCACAAGGGGTCGCTGCTGCAGCTTTCTGTGCAAACACTAATTGTTTTTGTTTGATTGCATGACTCAGTCAGAAGTCCTCCTGTCAGTGGTGGTTGAAAATATTGAATCCTGCAACACCCATGACCCTCCTGAGGGAAGCAGCTTTTCCTTTTATCATGGCTGTTCACTCAAACATAAACGAAAGAGTATGAACTTCAGTTACGCCGGCCAAAACAACCTTTATCTTGTACATAACTTCTTCCTTTCAAGCTTCTTCTGGTTCCTTTTAAGAAAAAGTGTAACTCGACACCAAGAGAGGCCACTTTTCAGAATCCAAATGTAGCTTCCTGTTGCAGAAAACAGCCCATTATAGGATTGGTGAAATTCAGAGCGTGCTTTTCAGGCGAGATTCACTCCAGGCGACCATCCCTCTTGTCATTCAGAGAAAAAAAAAAAACAGCATTTAAAGGATTTGGCTTCTTTTCATCACAGGGTTATTAAATGAAATTCAAAGAGCGATGATTGGAAGGTATTTCTCTGCGTGCAATCTCGTCTATTTCAGGAAACAGGGTAAAGTAAAGAAACACTGGGCCAGCTCAGAGGTATTATTTGTTTTGGGCAGCGTTTAATCTGCCAGATGAGGATAGAAAACAGATGACAAAGAAAATGAGAAGACGTCGGACAAATGCTTGAGCTAAAGGAAAAGTCTCAAACTTCACCAGCATAACTTGCTGTATGTACACTGCGTTGTCTCTCAACTACAAGCATGTGCTTTGGAGCCCAATCTCGCTAAAGTGAGGAGAAAAAAAAGGAAATGCTGTCACGAGCTGGACGTCTGCCAGATTCGGGGAGAGTATAAAGCATGCCTGCAATGCATGAGGGAATATTATCTTGATTTGAAAACATTTAGTTCCAGTAGATCCTGTACAGAGATCTGTGTTCTCACGCAGATGTGCAGGAAAGGGGCAGAGCTCGACACAAATAACTGAGCCAATGAGCCGGGTCACTCGGTACACAGGTTCAACCTCCCATCAGTCCTTTTGATTAATGTCCCCGTTCACTTCCATGGCTGCAGGGGGAGGAAAGAGACTGGATTTCCTTCATGATCAGACGAGAGCGTCATGTGGGCATGTCAGGGATAAGAGTGAAAGCCTAAACTTTGACAGAAAACAGGAGTTTGGATATTGAGACGGAGTATTATTATGATCCCAGCTCTAAAAAATGTTGATCATTTAATAGATAGACAGTTTGCAAATCATTTAAACCCTATATTTGACTTTTAAACTCGTGCAAAGACAACAGTTTCTCAGAGGCAAAAATAGTAACTCTTTGTGAGGGACTGTGTGACCAAATAGTTCAATAATGTTCTCAAGAATTTGGGGATTTCTCATAATGTCATTAAAAGATTTATAAATGTCTGGAGGGATCTCAAGGTCAAAAACCAACACTGGAGAATTGTGATGTCTGAGCCCTGAGATGGCACCGCATTACAAAACAGTACAGGGACTCTGTAGTGGAAGTCCCCGCATGGCTCAGAAACCATCACGATGAACACAGTTTTTCACTCCATACAGGTTTAGGATCTGCCATCCAGACAATGACTTTTCCAGGGAAGACCTTCATATATATAAGACAATGCCAAACCTGTAGAAGAGGAGTCCTGCTGCGACCAATTAAAAACTTAGAGCAAATAATAAAACAAAAAAGAAATATGACACAGGAGACCCTGAGCAGCTGAAATCCTGCCCTGTTGTGTGAAGAAGAAACGAAACAACACAAAGGTAAACATGTCCCTGTCTCAATTCTCTGAAACCTGCTGCTGAGTAACCGTAAAACGCTGTTTTGATTATGATAAGCACAGCGTCCAAACTTCTCTGGAATTGGAGCAGAAAACATTCACTTAGTAATACTTTTTTGGCGCTATTAATTCTGTTTGTTCTGTATACTGTTCTGCAAATCTGGACTCCAGATTTTACCACAGCAGAATTGTAGGTCATGTCTACACTACATTCAATAAAGTTGTATTTATTTGTATGTTTTCCGCTGACAGTGACAATGCACGACAGACTCAGCTGTTGCTTTTCTCCTCTGTTTGTTATCAAACCTTGATTGATGTGCCGAGATGCCTCGAGCCAGCCCGGCAGGTCTGTCGCTGTTTGTTTGTTTGCTGCTGCACAAAAGCCCACGGGCAGACCTTGATGATCAAAATAAACAGTGATTATAAAGTATTCAGGAGACAATATCTGTGTGCTGGTGCTGATGGTGCTGCTGGTATTGGAGTCTGGACGCATCTGTTTTTTTAATCAACACCGAGCTATTTTTGGTGGTTTGGGATCTTTTTATCTGTTTAATGTCACTGGATGTCGACCGGGCACGGTGACAGGGGAAAGAATCAAAGCTAAATTCAGGTTTCTGTGTTAGGCGTGTCTTACTGAAAAGATCCGTATCAGCCTCCAGGCAGGCAGCCAAGGCTTTCAAGAGAAGGGAATCATGTCAGAGAACAGTCACAGGCAGAAACATCCACTGCATTTCCTACACTAAGTCCACAGCTGGACTCGGGCTTCCACTGCACTCACTATTTACACTGACTACTCCGCCACTGGGTCTATCAATGTTTTAATCAAGTCAGTCTAACTTTTGACTGCTTGTCAGCTTAGTCAAACATATAACCCTCAAAATAAGACACTGGTGCTCTTTATAAAACACATTAGCATTATGGAGCACAGACAGTGAAACAACAAGACAAGCAAAATGACAGATTGACAGATATCGAGTGTTATCGAACCACTGTGCGTATCAAAGGGAGCATTGTTCGCCTTTTAGTATGTGTTAAAAACTCTGCACGCTTTGCATTACAACCATTACAGCACATGTTGTAAAATAATATAAAGTATATAAATGTGTTAAACTTTCATATCATGTTGCGGAGTGACAACTTTAAACTTGCCAGACTGGAAATGTTGGCCGAAAGTCCTTCACGAGGTTGACATGACACACAAAGAGCGGCATAGCACTATTTTACCACTATTAAGGTTAGCATAAATCCTCATATTATGACTGGGATCATGTGAATACGAGTGAATAGAGGCTGGTTTAAAATAATTGTCTGGAGCAGTTTCATGTGTCTATCACAAAGAACGGCTTACAGGTAAGTTCACAATGATCGGGCATCAGTATCACGTTTGCTTCAGTTTTTTAGTTTTACTGTTTCTGAGATTACAGCTAGCTGTCAGCATCTTCACTCTCTGCTGCCCAGAACTACACTGTGAGCTCTCTTCCTGATGGTAACTATCAGGGTTCCTACACAGTTGGAATTACCATACTTTTCCATACTCTACTTTTTAGAATTCTTTTTGGAAATACTTTTCAATTTCTAGAAAACAGTATTTTAGAACTGTGGTAATAGTCTGGAAACATAGATACTTTTTCATACTTTCCATACTGGAAATTGATCAAATTACTTCCATACTTCCCATACTTGCGTAGGAACCCTGAACTATGTTACCTGTTTTGTGAATAACATTATCAACCATTGCCTCACCCTTGCATGGTTGCTTTCAATAAATCGTTATGAAACCAATAAACAGATTTTCTTACAATTTTTTGCACTTGATTGATGTTTTGTTGGTCGTAATGATAATAATGATAATCCTGATGCAGATTTTTAAAAAGTCTAAATTCAAACATTGTCTTCTCTGTCCTCAAGAGGAGGAGAAGACAACTTTGTCATTGTTTGTCGGATGAGCAGAGACCCGATTGATCATTTCTGATACATTTAAAAGTGTCACGAAAATTGAAACACTGATTGGATTTCACAAAACAGTGTTGAGCTTATTTGTCACTCATGATACATGTTTGATTGAGGGCAGATTGTTGACTGCTCTTGTATCCAAGTTTCTGTTTACAGAGGTAAATAAACTGTCCTCAGATTACAGCAGAAGAGATGTCATTGTAGCGGATTGTATTACGCCTGCTTTTGCTCTCCACACAGACTGTTTTTCCTTGTTAATGCTTCTCCTATCAAAGTTGAACCCAGAAAACTTCCAGTGATGAGAATCCAAATCCCAAAGTAAGGATTATTATGTTCTTATGCAGAAACTAAACTGAGATTATGTCCCACGTTATGTTAGCATATGCTAGTTCTAGAAAGTCTGCTGCAGCAACTCTGTCTTATTTTTTTATTGGCTTAAAAACTATTGCCATTTGAGAGGTCTTAAGACTGGATCTGTAAACTCCTCGCATTACCAGATAATCTGGGCCAAACATCAGCATCATCAAAGGTCCAAAAACCAGATTTATCTCCTGGAAATGGTTGAATCGAGAGTTAAATCAGCTCAAAACTCTTTCATTCCTTGCCTGGATTACATGAAACCCTGGTAATTTAAGCAGAGAGTACTTGGATGTTGAAGCTTTTGCTAGATGGACATGATTGAGAGTTTAAAATCTGGAAATCTATGCAAATGCAATCAACACTGAAAGATAATTCCCCATCCTGGATAAAAATCAATGTTTATACTTTCACATTCCTTCCAAACCCTGACGGAGCTGAATCACAGACTTGAAATAAAAGTAATAATACATCTTCGGTGTTTTGATCCCTCTGAACTCTCAGTGAGACGACAGCTGATTCTGCTTCAGCACATAAACAAACAATAGCATTTTTTGGAGGATTTTAAATGTCACAGAGAGCCTTGGTGGGCCGGCTCGGCTCCGGCAAACAGAGGACCAGAGAAAAGAAAAAAGAAGGGGGTTTGGGTACGAGGGGAGATGTAGCACTGTGGTTTGAAAGCTGGAGGGACTCAGAACAAACCTTCCAGAGAACGAGGATGGAAAAAATGAAAACATGATTAAATCTGTCTCCCAGCGGTTGCTCGCATTCTCACGATATACTGAAAGACGAGTCAAGAATCAAGAGCCAACAGGCAACTTCTGTCACCCCAGAAAGACGTCCTTGTCTGACGGATTATGATACTGAGTTGGCAGGTGAGTTCTGCCCTGCTTTATTATGCTGTGGCTTAAAAGTAGAAAACAAATCTTCCCAAACAACAAGACCATCAGGTTTCAATAACCAACAAGACTGGGCTTCCCTGAACTGATTCTCTCCTTTCAAGATGTTTGCCAGGACTTCAAAAGCTCCTCTTACCTCTTTCTTCTTCCTCCTACACTTGTTTCATGTGTAGGGGTTTGTACGTACATGGTTCAGATATCCCAAATACCAAATTAGATCAAATTATAGCACACGATACGGTGTTACCACATCAACCATGATTACTAACAGGCCCTGGATGTTTTCAATGAACTTGGAAAGCCAGTGCACATTTTTCTCCAATTTCTAACAGCGTCACACAAATATGTCAGCAGCAGAGAGCCACAAGACTTTCAAAATACCCAACGCTGCCTCGTAAAGTCACGCTATGAGGCCGGCAGTCCAGATTGCTCAGGGAGGGAGATCTGCTGTTTCAAGGCGGCCACAAATAGCTTGTTCTATTATCAGGTCTTTAAATCTCCCCTCTGAAACGGCTCATGTTTGTTCTTCTCTCTGAAGCCTTTCTTTTACCTTCCAGTTTATGGGATCTTTATCTTAACTTCCAGGCATGTCCCAGCATGAACGCCCATCCCAGCTTATGTTTTGACTGGGATAACCCCGGAGAGGCCACCTCTGCTGTTGCAACAAAACTAAACTGTTTGGAAATCCATTGTTACGCAGCCTTCATTTGTCTTAACATGTAAATTTATCTTGTCCAACTCACACAGCTGAAACTAGGTCTGTTTTTGAACACGTTCAAAGCTCGACATTTTAACAGTTGTTGAAACATGTGTATCTGCTTTCTTTGCCTTCTCACCAAAGCTTACTCTGGATTACATGCCTCCTGACAATGAGTCCAGTGTTTCATCACTACTTTAAACCCAGTTTTGTCACAGTGTGGACGTCCTCTCAAAACACACCTTTAAAGCAGACCGGTTAATCAAAAGTACAAATAAATGACGTGTTGAAATGATCAACATTGGCTAATGCCTTAAAAAAATAGACCGATAATGTCTGAGGACACCGCATGAGTTACTTGATAGAACATCGACAGGCTGTGCAATCGAAGTAAATAAAGGTAGAATTTTACAATGTCTTTGTTCGCTTAGAGTGGCTAGCTCGTAACTGAGTCTGTCAACAAACAGTCAAACATATAAAAGCGCTGCGGGACAGTTTACAGAAGGTGGTGGCCCATAAAAAACTGTGATCAGTCGGCCACCTCTGACACAAATATCAGTCACGCTCTGAAATCTAATATAGCTCATTGTTTTTGTCTTTGAGCTTCGAAAACCAGTGGGCGACAGGGATGAGACTACACACCATGTATGTGCGAGGTATCTATTTGGATAGGAGCTCTACCTCCCCCTGCTTTTATGAGGGAACAAAGCATAAACAGTGTTTACGTTGGTCTTTATAGAGTATTATTCACTCTCTGAGTTAAACAGATTCTCGCTCTAAACCAACGATTCAAGAGACAACAAAACTTGCATCTTTGCACATCTGTTCGAGTTAGAGGACAAAATATTCTCTGATGAAATTTCCACTAAAAAGGAACCATTGATCTTATTGTTTATCCTCATTTATGTCTCTAGATGACTGCTTTCTCACTTAAATGGGCGTTCGTACTGAGCGGCTTTGGAAATCTGTGCCCACAAACCAATTAGAGCTCCCATCAGTCATTTCTGCAGCGAACCGCCAACACAGGAACAAATGGAGTGACGAAAAATGAAAGATATTTTGTGAAATATAAAACTAGGCTCATTAATTACTTTTATGCTTATTTAGACAGGAGTTATAACATCAAATGATGTCTGTGTTTGATTTAATACACTCAGTAATCTCAGTGGAGATTCCAGGAAACCCCACCGCTGTGACAAGAAAGTGAAGTCACAGATCATATAAACTTAATTGAAGAAGTCTGCAACAGCTGTGTTCCTAAAGAGGCTCGATTTATTATTAGTCTTTCCCTTTTATGCAACGGTTTTATGGATTTATATCCATATACATGAGTGTTTTCTTTCTGAACATCACAAACTATGTCAACATCTCGCTTTGGATAAACAGACAGCAGTGAGTCGCACTGAAGGTGATATCAAAGCTGCACAACGAAAGCAGACAAACAAATCCCTGAGACACACGATGCTGCAACCCAATATCCCCATCTGGTAATGAAAAACACACTCCTCCTGGCTTCTTCTGAACACATATCACACAGCCATGTCAGCATAAAACTGAGCTCTTCAGATCGCTCTTCAAAACACGGAGCTAGCGGGAAACGTCTCGGCAAACACAAAGAAGGTTGTCATGACTGAGACTGCACGTTGTTGTCGGCGTATCCTGTGTCACATGCCGATGTTAAGAGGGAAATGGTGACAGACTGTCTGTGTGAAAGTGTTTTGTTACCTGTAAAACCATTCAGAGGTGTTGTTTTAATCCACACCCTCGTACTGCTTTCATTCAGGAGGCGACCTGGGAGGAACTCACTCACCCACATTGACTGCACATGATCATGGTTCAACATTTTGGTGCTCAGGTTGGTAAGGTTTTGAGCCAGTCTATCTCTGCTTTTTAGACCTGAGTTTGAATACAGACTAAAGTTTACGCTTAACCCTTTCCCTGTCAGCCCTGTTGTGGTAAACAGCCAATCGAAAACTCCAACTCTTGTATTGTGCGATGGACCGGTCATGATCGATCATTTTTCATTTTTCATTTGGAGCTGGAGGTGGTGGCTGGCCTCGGTGATGAGCTTTGCAAACACACCAGGCGTGGTGCGGCACAGAAAAACAATTTGCCAAGAGAATCTGTCATTGTTTTGACAGCCTGTTTGAACAATTAATAACAAAGTATTCAGAATTATTTGATCAATATTTGCACTTGAGATGTTTACGCTTGAGTCATGCAAAAACACGAGGCACAACAGTGAAGGAAGCTCTTCATGATATATTACTCAAACTTTGGGATTACAGACTCCTTTTTAGAGGCTGCTTCAAGGAGCTGCGCTTTCACTGTACTACTGTAAAAACCAATGGAGCAACCATCAACCAACCATCATACTGATGTTATGATTGTGAATATGTGCAAAGCTTTAAAACACTGGCATTATTATCCAAGATATTCCCTGCAAGACAAACTTCAAACTTTTATTATTTCAAGCTAGTTTTCAAATTATTAGATTCACGTAAAAGTGCATTGTGCAAAAGTGACCGATTCTGTTGACATGCTGCCCATGTCTTCAACATGTAAATATGTCAGTGTCATAAAACTGGCCGTAAACACACTGAATCATCCATCATTCAGTCCTCACACAGCTGCGTAAACAAACTCTTCTGATTTCTTTCAAGGACAGGGTTGTTTTTTTTTATGTTGCATTCAAGTTGTACTTGGAAGTCGGAATTTCCAAACTCCAAGTCGGGAATTCATCTGGAACGCCCCCCTGAAGTCGGATTTCTGACAAGGAAAGCCATACGATCCTCACCAACCCCAACTTGAGGATAGTGTCATATTCCAAGATGGCACCGCAGTGCATCGATAGTAAAGAATAACAGTGAAAGCTCTCGTAATGTTTTATTTATTAGCACTTCTGTTCTGTTTTTGTGAAATTAAATAAGTGGTGTATGTTTTACTGCCCAACGTCTAACTGTGAACTGCTAACAACAGCTAACAGTAGGCATCCATCTTGGTTTTCCGACTTGTTTACTGGAACGGCGTCAACTCAGGTGAAGCGTCATTCCCAGCTCTGACATCCGACTTCCAAGGTAACCGGAACGCAGCATTAGTTCCAGAAAAACATAGCATATCTTGAAATAGGGGTTGCTTTTCAGTCAGCAGCGTCTACTCTGTCTATAAGCACTTAAAGTTAAATTTCATATCCTTCAATAAATGGTCTCTAGTCCAAGAAGGAACCTGTTCTTGATACCAAAAGCTGTTTGGGTAAAAAAGAGAGAGAAAATAAAGCCCCTTAGAATTAAACACAAGACTCAGTCAGCTGGTAGGCCACTGCTGAATCAGGATATCAATCAATTAGATAAGACCTCACATGAGTATATCCCAGCCAACAATACATCCTTTACAAGCAGTTCTATGCAAAATCTGTAAGTTTAAAGCAATGCACCCTCAAGGTTTTTTAATGTGTTATTTTCAAGCCCATTTTTTAAACCATTTTTTTATCCTTGCAGTCGGTCCCTCACAAACAATACACTTTATGTGCGGAAAACAGAGAAGCGTTTATTGCCACATTTGATTCCGGATGTCATTTCTTTAGATAAGAATCTCCACAAACGCACCAGACTACAACCCAGACAACAACACGTCCATTTAGCATCACTATCATGTGAAATTAAGGAAATATTTTGGAAGTCTGTACAAAGCCTTTATGAGAAACAGGTTGTTGACAAAAAGAGTTCAATTTCTACTTTTTCCAATGCATGTTTTTGTCAACAAATGTCACTTCGGTTCTGTTGAATGTTCAGTAGACAAATGTCTGGTGTATTTAACCAAGTATTTAAGAGCATTCAAGACCAGATTTAATCCAAGATCTCCTGCATTAAGATATGAGGATTTGGAAATGAGTTCTGGCATGCTTTGGGTCCAGCAGGGCTGAGGTGATAAGCTGCAAAGAGCAGAGAAGTCACAACCAAATTCGTTTCAGGAGGTCATTTCTTAAGATATGACGCCACATGATTGCACCAGACTAAATCCCAGACAACAAAACATCCCTCTAACAGCAGTATTTTGTGAAATCCAATGAACTATTCTGGGTGGGGCAAGTAATTTGGAAAAGTCTGCAGAGGTTGTTGACTTAGCTGTGGGCTGAAAATGTCTGATTTCTGCCATTTTCCATGGGTGATCTATGAGCATTGTCTCTTTGGTTTTAGGAGGTTGGTTGTTGGTCGATCAGTATTGCTATAACAAAACAGTCATTGTAGTTTACCAATATCTGAGGGTTTGTCTGTGGTCAGACCCCTCCAAAACCCCGAACGCATCCAATTGAAAACAGTAGATCCTTTAAACCAGATTCGATTCAGGATATAAATCACTGAGATACGCCCTCACATGACAGCACCAGAAAACATCCAAGACAGCTATGCAATCCTCCAAACAGTAATTTCATTGAAGATACTGGGAAATGTTTTGGTTACGGGAATAGTTTTGGCGAACTGTTTGGTTTTGCAACGCTAACGTGATTCACCCCAAATTTTTCCATTGGATAGTATCATCCAATATCCAGCTTGTTTGTAGTTAAAACTCAAAATCACCAGAATGAGTTAGGTGGAAACCTGCAGATCATTCATAACCAAATTAAACAACAACATGCATGTATAGAAGCAGTTTCAAGTCAAGTACAAACAAATAGTTTAGGATGGTCAAATCATTCTGGAAACTCTGGTGCTGTACTAAAATCATTAATTTCTTCTTCTGTCAAAAAATGTCAGTTTCATGAGGATTGTATCGGATGGATACAAACAAACTATTGTTAAAGTTCTCTAATACTTGAAAGATGCTTTGTAAACAGCAGCTCATTCACGACAAAATTTGATTCAGGATGTCAATTTCTCAGATAAGATCTCACTTGAATGCAGCGGACCAGACCCCAGACAACAATACATCCATTTAACAGCAACTTCATATGAAAAAAAATCCAAATATTTCTGAATGGGGAAATAAATTTGGGTTCAAATAATTAAAGGGGATCTTTGCTTATTTGTGTTCAGCTTAAAATCACCAGAGGAAGTCAGCTAGAAAACAACAGATAGAGGTTGTGTCATCTGGTCCCATTGTTTTGCAATGGCAGAAACTATGTACTATTCAATCTTATAAAGCCAAGTGTTTTCAGCGCAAAGTGAGCATCCACAGCACACACACAAAAAAAAGAAAAAAACTTCATGGCAGGGCCTCTATTCATGACCAACTTTGATCCAGGATATCACTTCTCAGGATGAGCCCTCACATGAATGCACCAGACAACATCCCAGACAACAATACACTCCTTTAACAGCGGTATCAAGTGAAATTAGAGAAGTATAATCAAGTGGTTGGGTTGAAATTTAGAGAGTCTGAATCTAAATAGGTTTTGGTTTATTGGTACTTTTAAAAAAAGTGCTTGGTACTATCTACAACTCAAAGAATGTCTAGGTAAAAAGGGAACCGCTGAGGCGAGGTGTACCAAACTTTGGAGCACTTTAAGTAAAACTTGGTGCAATGAGAAGAAAAGGAAATCCTAATACTAAAACTTGAAAAAAGTCCCCAGGTGGAGAAATGACAGATTTATAAATTTGCATACACACACTGCAAACATGACTGTAAATTTTTCTTTCTTTGTTCAGCATGTCAGTCACTGTGTATCATTGTATTTGCATGGTCTGAAATACGCCTGAGGAGCACAGATTCTTAAATCGCTTTGATTGGGAGAAATGGCATGTGAAGTGAAGTGTTAAAACGTCTCTTTTCTCGTGGCCTCAGGTGTTTGACAAGAGTCTGACATGACTCGACAAATGTTCTACATGCACTATTTGTAAATGTATAAAAACTGTAGATACAAGGCTTGTACAACCTGTACTAAATGGGAAACACAAAGATAACGATAGAGTCTCAGATCTTTGTTGAATCCCGGCAGCTGCTCTTGATCCGAACATCAACTGGGACTCATTTTACTCCGATGGCAGAGATCCTTCAGTCAAGCTTTTGTGCTTCTGGTACCAAGAATTTGTTCTTTTCACATTTCGGAATAATCCGTATCCACTTGCACAAGACCTTAAAAAACTTCCCAGGGTGACAGGATGTGAGAATGCAGCAGGAAATATTTGGGGAAAAGCCAGCAGGTGGAGAGGATGCATCCATATCACAAATGCAGACACTGTCATTTTTTATTTCACTGTCGCATCCTGTACTACAAAAACTCAACACTAAGCAAGTTTCACCTGTAAAGTCCAGAGGGATACCTTATTACAAAGCAAAACTAAGACCAGGACTGCTTGTTGATAAATTCTGTTTCTTGGGAGAAAAAAAAAGTGTATTTTGAGTCTCCTTTAAAGCTCCTGTAAGGAACTTTAAAACTAAACAACACCTCTTGTCCCTTTCCTGTACATGAAAAAGTAGTATTTCCGGAAGAAAACTTCATCCTGTTGTCTTTTAACTCTAAAACAGATCACCTACTGTAAATATTTGTCGTGCAAACAGTAAACAGAGACTGTTTTTTAAGCGTGCTATCAATCACCTTGCCTGACACCTACTCCCCTCATGGCGGTTTCAGGCATTAAAAGTTAGGATAGAGAAATGATCAGTCTGGTTACTGGGTGTCTTGTTAGCTTCTCAATGCTACAGTGAGGCTTAAGTAACAGTTTCTGTCTTTTTCTCTGCCAGTTAAAAACTCCTTACCGGAGCTTTAAGTCCAGAAGAAACTTGTCAGGTAAATGTGGTTTATATACTCAAACATTAAGACACAAAACTCTTGCTTAGTTTGTAAGATGTTGCGGTATGCCTCTCAAGACTCATCTACCTTTGCCCCACTACCCCCCTTTTCTGACAGGAAGGACTTTGTGGGAAACACGAACAAGCAGCTGTGGCAGCTAAGACCATCTTGGTTCAATCCTTGGATGATTCCGTCTGCATATTTATTCCATTTCAACATCCAGCTCTGAGTTTACCAAAAGCAGGTTAAGAGATCTTAGAGGTGGATATGTAAATGTAAGTGAGCCGAGTTTACTGACACTTCTACCTTAAGCAATGACATGACGATGAAACCAAAACTCTTCAGCCTGTCTCCTACCTGCATGGTTCAAAAGTAGGCCAAAAGGGTGTGAGAGCAAACAGCGCTGGTATGTCACAACTCCTGTGACTGAATGTAACATGTTCATTCATACTGGAGGCTTAAGCTGCATGCTGCTCAACTAAGAAGAGAGCAGTCTGCAGATACAGTAGTAGACACAGTAAAACGCTTTTCTGGTCCGAGTTTGATTCATGATAAATACGTGGAATATTACTGAAATGATGATCAGTCGGTCTTCATGTGAAGAGCACAAGCCTTACCAATAGCACTTAACTGTTTGCTCTTTACACAAAATACCTCATTCTTTTGCAGTTTGTGTTAAGGGATGTGAGGGATGAGGGTGTTGAGCAAAAGAGTTGGAAGTTAACTTTACTGTTTGCACTTTACACAAAATACCTCGTTCTTTTTCAAGTGTTTTAGCAATAAAAAAGTTTTGAAAGGAGTTTTCTGCCTTTAATTCTTTGAAAAAGTGTTTAAAAGGCTAAAAAGCAGCCATTTGTTTTAAAAACATGAAATAAATATGTAGATATATTACTTAAGTTAACAAAATTTTAAAACTTCATAAAAAATTTTAAGTCAGCCGATTAATGAGTAATTAGATTTTTTTCCTCCCTAATAATCTGTATTGGCATCTGCCCCAAAAAATCCATATCAGTCAGGCCCTACAAATAAAGTTTGTCTTGTTGGTCAAAATATGTACTTCTATTTGAAATTTTTACATCACTCTAACAGCAGTAATTTTTAATTTTTTTGGTCACATGACATAGATGCTATTGAAATTTTTTTTTCAAAATTTGCCTTAAATTTAAATTTAACACAAACATTGTATGAGGACAAATCAGGGAAATAAAGAGGTGCGTCTATTGTCCAATCTTAGTGCTATTATTTGAAATGAATTTTAGGTCAATTGGTCACATGACATGGAAGCTATTGAAGGAAAATAGCCTTTTCTGAGAACATCAACCGGTTATTTATTGATGGTCCCTTATTCAACACCAGTAGATCCTCAGTGAATATGCGCCGAATACCCAACCTAAAACTAACTTCACTGCACATGTGCCCCTAAATGAATGTTACAATTCGCACACATCTATTTTCAGTCACAAATGTGAGTGACATGGTCGCACTGTCGAGCCCTGCATGCATTTTAAGGTTACCGCTCCAGCACAGTCCTTTCACTTTTGCGGAGAGTAGATCCCAGATTTAACTCTGTGTACCTAGAAAAGCTCCAGGCGGCACAATGCACATAAAAAAGTACCAAAAAGCAACAGAGAGAAGACACATCACTTCTCAACCCAGCACTGAAGCCTGAGGCAACAGGCCGACTTACTCAGCAGCTCGTCTGCCAACACCTGAGTGGATATGTTTGACTTCAGCTACCCTATCATCTGCAGGTGGCGTGCGTGTGATTCACATTTAACTGAGTCACTCTCGACTCATCGGTATTTTTAAAGCTACGGTGGTCGAACTGATCAACAGTGAATGCTCATATATTAAATCTCCACCTCATGATTTCCTTTTGCAGGGTGGCTTTTGTCGGTGTTGCTTGTAGAGAGGGTGGAGTAAGGTTACAGAGGATCAGAGGATGTGTTGTTTCCTAAAACCAGATTCCTGCATGCTTTTCATTCCTGTCGAGGCTGTCAAATGTTCTGCAAGAATTTTCAAACGTTACTGTCAAACTGTTCCTGTTTTAACAACAGCGATCCAGCTCTTCCTCATTCTAGCTCATGCTGCTAAAGCTTGATTATATATCTGTTTATTCAAATAGTCAAGGCCTTAGATGTTTGAGACGATGGCTTGAAAAGACATGGTGAAATAATATCTCTACACTGCGTAAAGTTCCTCACAGGAGCTCCATGAAGAAGTTTCTGTTAGTTGTGGTGTTACTGAAGAACAATGTTGGGTCAGCATTCGTGACATAAACACCATTATTTTCAAGTTTCAGTTCAACAGTAAGTCACACAGAGGTTTCACTCAGACTTTGACCCAGAAAAAAAAAACCTATAGACGTCTGATCTAATTACAGGTCTTAATTTTGCTGAAGTAAGAAGAAGTCAAGCCTGTCAGATATGTCCTGATATGTGGAGAAGAAAACAACTTTTAAAATGTCAGATCCACTAACTCTAATACATTTCAAGTCTAGTGTAAAAGTTTAATTTAGAGTAGATTCTTAGCTGTACTTGCATGCAGATATCTGTTGGTTAAGATATGGAAGTCATTGTCAGATTGCCACACTTTTAAGACTTCTTGGTCAACTAAAAAGTGAGCTGTGTCTGGTGAGGTATTTCATCACGTTACAGTATCTTACTCAGCAGAGTAGCAACTCACAGCTACCTCATATATCAGTAGCAGGATAGCAAAAAACATTTGGTTCTTGTAGAGCTTCACAGTTGCATCGAATCTGTACATTGTGGACTTGTGGAGGAAAAGCAATCGAAGTCTTAACACAGCTTAAATATTTTCCCCTTAAAACTGACTGTGTCCTTTATTCTGGTGTGACTCATATTCAGGACTTTATGGTATTTCCTCAAAAAAAAAAAAAAAGGATTTTAGGGTTTTCGTTTCCATTTCAGTGTCCTCAGTGCAAAAACACGAATTATGTCCAAACAGAATCACAAAGGGGGCGAGACTTCCGATACCAACTTTTACAACAACTATGGCGAAGGAGAAACTAATTATTATTTTTCATGGTACAATTTTCGGATCTAGAGATAGTACGACAAAATTACTGTCAACTATTTGTACATTTTCTTTTTTAAATGCTTTTGAATGAAGGCAAATATGAATCTTACAGTTAAAACCAAAAACTGTCACGAATTGTTACAGAAGCCAGCAAGAGAGTTGGCGTTTGTTGTGCAGAAGGCACTCTCAATTTTGTCCGTTTCTGACCACAAACTCTTGGAGATTTTTTTCTCTACCCTCTGGACATAAATACAAACTATCTAAAGCTAGAAAAAAAACTAGTTTACATTTACATTTGGTCCTTGTGGAATGAATGAATTGAACTTACATCATGTTTGTCACTTAAGCTCTGTGATCTGTTAAAATCCTAACATTTTTTAAATTGACCTGAAATTAATGTTGTGGGCACTGCCAGATCAAAAACAAGACTGGGTTAGTTGAAACAGTTTCTCATTGGTTCATCCCATTATCTTCATGAAACTGAAGAAAAAACTAACAGCCCCAGACTTCAAAGTGTGAACAACAACAACAAAGAAGGTTACCGTTGGCTGATTTAGATTTATGACTCATACATACTGTTCCACTATTTGTACAAAAAATTACGTATAATACATCATAAATGAAAAACCACAAAGACCGTTTATACGATGAAAATAATTACATAGCAGCTCCTGCCAACGTCAGTCAAACAAAGGAACCCAGAGGTAAAACCAGGACAAGGTTAAACCCACAGTTGAGCTCAAAATCCCTTCACCCAAAAACTGTTCCCATCCCCCCATGCACCTCCTGCATAAAGCATTTATGGGGGAAATTCCCTCCGTTTTACAAAATGTATTTCAAGCCCAGAGGGTGGGAACAAACCACGTGGTTCAACAGAGTGGAGGTCTCATTGAAAATGATTCAAAACTCTTGCTATAGAAATTTTCTGACAATGAAAGAAGCTAACCTTACTTCCTTTTAATAACATTTATATGCAATAACCTTACTCTTAGTTAGCTTGTGTTTACAAAGTGGTTAATTAAAGCTAGAATAGTGTGTTGGCTGATGAGGATGTGCTCCAAGCAGTGTGTCCCAAGTTCACCTCCTGACTCATCCTGCCGGTAAATGTTGACTTTTCTGCATTTAAGGAGATGAAATTACAGACTCGGCTTGTGCTTAAACCGGGTTGATCCTTACCTCTGAAGTAGCTCTTGACCCTCAGGTAGCCCACGCTGAGACGAAGAACCGACAGTTTGTCCAGACGAGTGCGGACCTCCTCTGCGAACGGCAGGAGGTCGGTCAGCCGGTCCAGCTCCCCGTTCAGCCGATCCCGGTGGCGCTTTGAAGGGTTGGATTTAACGACTTCATTTCCCTCAGAAGCCTTTTTTCTGTTGAATTAAAAGAAAAAAAAACACAGATGTTACAAAAAAGCTGCAAATACTCATCTTTTAGTAGACTGTGATTAAGAATAAAGAGCATGTTTTTGCCCGATCAGGACATCTGTTATCAGGTGCAGAGTGAGACATGTTAATTAAAGATGAGCAACTTTAAGAAATCGTCATTATAGCTACAAACCTGCTCAGGGAAAAAAGACGCTGCCATGGACGTGACTAATAAACAGTGCAGCTCACGTGAGTCAACACACATCCGCTCCTGTGATGATTGCTGGAAAAGGAATGCTTTCAGAAACTCATAAGAGCTTTTTATATAGAGCCGACAGGACAATGATTATTTTATCTTTGGTGAGGCAATAAATACATTATTAGATCCTCGTCAAGTTCGGAACAAAACAACAGTATCATATTTCAGAGAAGCACGAGGAAATACACCGAAACTAAGATAGTGGAGCACACGCCGGATTGAGTCTTTGTCAGGGCAACAGGAAACAGGGCTCTGTTTAGACCTGCACAGCGTCGTCCCAGTTTCAAAAGTACTGTGACGCATAAAAACTTCTTGGTGGGTCAGATTTTGTCACAGGGAAAGCTGCGTATTTTTGATACTGCACTGGGAATCAATCCTCCAGCATGCATCTGGATTTGGGTTTTTCTATTTCTCTGATCTGGGTGCATAAGTGCATTAGAGGTGACATCATCCATTGGTTTCTGGAGAAGCGTTTCGTCGCGATGAATGATGGCGGTTGCCGAATGAGAAACGCTGACTCAACCAAACTTCCAGTCACCCCTGCAAAGAGCAAAGAGGAGGAGCGGAGGCGGGCTTTCACCCTCACCCAGTGACAGCACGCCGACTTGTTGATCTTAGAGCTGAACTTTGTACCGATCTGTAAGCTTAATTAACTCTAATATGGAAACTGGCATTTTAACATGGCTGTTGATGGGGATTCTTAAGACAGGAGAGGTTTATAATTGCTTGAATATTTGACAAACTTAAAGATGACAAGCTTTATGAATGAGTGTAAATAACTGCGTATAAATCAAACAAATGGATGGCTTAATGTCTCTAATAAAACCACTGACATCTCTGCCATTTGCTGGGGATAACATCAACTTCCTGGACTGCTTGACATCCTGAACACTGAGCTGTAAATCTGAATTAGAGACTGTTATTGTGATAGGCATCTTCTTCATAGCCTTGACAACTATCGAGCTGCAGTAGCTCGCTCATAACTGCCATTTTGAGATTTTTATCCAAAGAAAGAGGGAGTACAACAAAATCAAACCTCATCATGAGTCATACCACTGCCTCTTTGTGTATTCTGTCAAAATGGAAACCAGTCTTTAACCATGACAGCAGCTTTATTTGCTCGGCTCGACTTTCACTTTCGGGGCGGCGGGCTTTCAGACCACCCGTGCTTAAGTGCAAAAACACAAACTCGAGACATGGCTGGCTGGAGATACACGCCGTTACTCACAAATCAGACACACATGCTGCATGGAGAGTGAAAGAGAAATGGGTCAAGGACCGAGGGGGCAACAGGGACAACACAAAACGCCTCCGTTGGCGTTTTCATGCTGCACACCTGCTCGAGAAAACAGGCAGGCAAAGAGCAGGTCCCTAAAAGCATCAAATAGACTGCAGGGCTACAGCTAACCATGAGTCTGTCAAAAAATGTTTTTCACAACTTCCAAGATCATGTTGGGATGCCTTCAAACCCTTTTTTTGTCAGACCCACCACTCCCAACTTTATACCATAAATGACAATTAAAATCTATGCATCCTTATGTCTAAGAAGTGACTCCGTTCCTGTTTTAAGTTGTTTTTTCAATCGTAATTTAAAGGCACAATGAGGGTTTTTTTTTTTTTTAACTTGAAATAATCTCCTTCTACGTGACCTACAACTTCCAAGATTGTGTTGGGATGCCTTCAAACCCTTCTTTTGTCATACCCACCACTCCCAACTTTATACCATAAATGACAATTAAAATCTACGCATCCTTATGTCTAAGAAGTGACTCTGTTCCTGTTCTAAGTTGTTTTTTCAATCGTAATTTAAAGGCACTGAAATGCTCTGCTGGTAAAATAAGAGACACAAACAGGACTGCTTGTCAACTTTGCAGAAAATATCTTACATATAAATGACAGTAAATGAGAGACACAAACAGGACTGCGTGTCAACTTTGCAGAAAATATCTTACATATAAATGACAGTAAATCTACAGGCTGACCAGTGAGGCAGCAGAGTCGAGCGGTGTAATGTCTGCAGGTACTATCATAAGTAAAATGAGAGCTGCAATCGATTTCCATGAAGCTGATGGACTCGTGTTTCTGGCAATGCTCAAACATCTGCAATCTGTGTTTTTAATTCAATTAAAATCACTCTTTTGAAAAACTTACAGCCTTAGTTTATAGCCTCCAAAGTTCTCCCAAAAAATGTTGGACAGACACATTTTTAACAAGGATCTACTTCATTCTGTTTACTAGTTAAAAAAAAACGAGTCTGTTTGTTATTGAGAGGACGCTTTCATGGATAATTTGCAAATTAGGAACACAGAAGGGTCATTTTAGCTTAGTGTGTGAAGTTTACAGCCTGCCATGTTTTTGTGATTGTGGATGACTCAGTAAAAAAAAAAAAAAACAGCACTGATATTCAGCTAATGAAATGCAATTCAACCAGGAATCTTCTAGAGGTGATTTTTGCAGCAGGCACCTGCAAACACTAATTTAATACTTTAGTAAAACTCATCTAATACACGTATTGTTCCAACGTTATCACCCCCTGCCAGAGAAAAACGTCACGAATGAGGAATGAAGGTCTTAAAGTTAACATCTGACAATTATGACTTGGCTAAAAAAAAAGTGCCAGTATAGAGACAACCTCTTTCTTTAATTGTAGCATTTCACATTTATGGGGTTAGAAGGAGTGCATTTACCGAAACTCTGGTTACTGGGAGGCTATAAAATTTCCTCCTCTTCCACTGAAAAGTCGACAGGGAATGTGGTCTGAACTCGATCGGGCTGCACCTTCTCAGAAATGAAACAGGGCTGATCTCACTCTAAAGAAATGCCAAAGGGGGACAAAAGCCAGCATTCAAACCATTTTCTTCCACCTTGATTTGCCATGGATCACGGGTTGGAGCAGCAGATGTCGGGATGCTGTTCGCTGTCGGAAAGGGTAAAGTTTTACCTCTCTGCTGGAGTTCTGTCTACGCTCCTTATCTAAAGGCCAAACGAGTAGAAACCTGACCCTGAACACCTCTGTCTCAGTTTCATCACAGCAGACTGAGTTCAACAAAGACTCTGACACAGATTTGTTAGAAGAAAGCAGGCAGAGCGTCTGCCAGATCCAGAGGGATGACTCAGAGCTTCAAAAGCACGAAAGAGCGTGATTCCTACACACACGTTTGGCTGCGGACAAATTTGGAAGTAGGGTAGTTTACAAAAGCAGGCTCCTGCCGACAAAGAGGTTTCCATGCAGAGAGGGAAAAATAAAAGAGGACTCACATTTAAGAGCATATGTTGTGAATAAACGTGCAAAAATAAAGATGATAATTGGGTAACAACAAAAGCAGTCCAACTAAATAGTATCCTACTGAGCCGACCATTTAATGCCAAAAAAACTGAAGTGTTCTGAAATCAGTCTTAACTTCAGATTTTCTGGTAGTTTATACTCATGCTGAGACAAACAAAAGAAATTTGCTCACTCAGAAGTAAACGGTATGAATGCTGCTGTCCAGCTGCATCAAACGGCACAATAGAAAATTAAGAAGCTGCGTGAATGCATACAATAATCAAGCACAGATACAATCTGGGACATAACTTACACATCATCAATGTTTCATATGCTCGGACCATCTTCAAAGCAGATCGCGTGACACGCAAAGCTATGATCGGCATTATTTTAATAAAGCTATAGATATGGAAAAATGTTTGAATCACGGGGACACTGAATTGGATCCAGGAGTTTCTGTGAAAGTAAGGAGGTTTCTGTTTGGTATAAGGTCACTTCAGGGAATCAATTTAAAGTAGCATCTGATGGCAGAGAGAGAGAGAGAGCAACAAACTCTTACAAGGAAACTCTAAAACACTGTCTTCAAATCAACTTCCTGAAAAAATCTCTTAGTTTGTGTTGGGTTGATAAAGCTTCTGGCCCAGGAAGTCTTACAGGAAGTAGCCTCTTACTGCTGTACTTTTGAAGAGTAACTGTGTTGAATTATGGGTACCAAAGAAGATCAGCGCTTCCCCTGAGCAGTCTGGTGAAATGCATCTTAATCCTCATTCTGACTTTAATCTGAAAATTGACTTTAAGAATACATGTTTACACAATAGTTTGACTGAAATCACACTAAATTGAGCTTCTCAGAGTCCGACTAACATACCTGGATAATGCAGTTGGGGATTATAATCCAAGCAAACAGCTCAATCAGACCCAAACTTGCCTGAGCACTGTTTATATGCTCTTGTCGTCAGGATTTGGCTTGATTGTTGAACAGCATAAAAGCGTTGCTAGGAAACCAGGCAGTAAACAAACCTCGACAGATGAAGAAAAAGACGAAACTGTTGTATCATGCAGACAAAAGCTACAAAAGCTGTAACAGTGACTGTTTTTTATCGTATCACTTGTTGGCCAGTTTTTAAAGCGTCTATCGATTGTTTTGGTACATAACAAGTTGACTGGAAGAAGAGTTCATGTCACCACCTAGCATAGAGGGTAACTGAGCTATTACCAAAGCTTGAAAACCGCATTATGAGATACCAACTTTATATTGATTACAGAGTGCTGCTACGCTTATCGATGAACTCTGAAGAACTACCATCGAGTTTCAGTCCAATATTCACCACCACCAGATAAGGCCACACGGGCCTGAGTTAGGGTTAATATTATCTGTCCAAAACTTCTTCACAAAGCAAAAAGACACATTTTACGATCAGAATAGACTTTCTCTCTTGGCATACTTTCAGAATTAGCATTTAAAGACTTTAAAAAACCCACAAACCAACTTTTTCAACTTTCACCGACTGAGCAACAGCCACCAACTTGATTAAATTTATTACACCCCTTGGGGGGGAAAAAGATAAATGACGCTTCAAAGTAAAACTTTGAACTCTCAAATGGTGATAAAATTATCATGACAGAAAGATAATAAAATGTACTTTGAGATAAACTTGAGATAATAGAACACAGCCTAAATCCACAAAACCGACCGAACTATGATTTATTCGAGTGTTAGCCGCTCACTCATCGCACAGATTTTACTTCTGTCATAAACAGTGACAGGTTTCCTGTTAGTGCACGACGGTGATAAAAAGTGTTTAACTGGTGTTTGTGAGCGACTTCACTTTGAAAAGGAAACAAAGGGCGAGAGAACAAAGAGCAACTTTGTTTTTCACCCGGAGTGTTTTGGCGCTCAACCAAACCTCTGTCTGCCAACCAGCGTTTCTCACAATCCCTTTAGATCACCGCGCACTGTTGAAACAGATTATCTTTTCTCATTAAGGCTACCTTTGCTGGCCAAAATTAATGCACAGTCACACTATAAAGTGTGCGAATTGTAATCCACTTAGTCAAGTACACACACACAGACACACACACACACACACACACACGAGAGACACACACATTATTTCTGGCCGTGTACACTATAATTAACCCAAATTTTCCCAGCAGCCTGTAAAAAGGCTGCTCCTGTTAGAGCGCAGTACGGCAGAGGACTAAAAAAAGACAAGCATGTTCCAATTAGATTTTCTGGTTATTATTTTGTTTGCAGTTGTACAGCAAATAAAAAGCAATTTCTCACTGTAAGTTCTTGTCTTTGACTTTCATTTGAGAGGCTACATTTGGGGTGAAAATCGAGGCTTGGAAAAAGTTGTAAATGACCAGTTACGAACTTTACAGTTGTATGTTAAGCAATGAAAGGTAAGCACTGAATTTGCATGTAAAATACAAGTGAGACCGCTAAAAACACAGAATTAATTAGTCTCAGGTTTATTTTAAGTGTCTGTCAGATGACAGCATGTCCAGGCGGCTGCGAGCTGAGCTACCGCTAACATTAGTGAGGCTTGTTTTATGAGCTGACCTTGTTTTGCTGGTGAAACTCTTTATTTAAGTCAGAGCTCTCCTCCCATCTAAAGCAGACCTGACTTTGCTAATTGAATCCATTTCAGGCCACAAATCATTGTCTCGTCAATGCGTACACAGCACGTCAGGAGAGGCTGTGAGCTGAGCTGCTGCTGACATTAGCCTAACTTGTTTTTAGGTCAGGATTCCTCCAGTCAACAACATTTTTACAGGGTACAAAATTATCCACAGAGGTTTCCTCTTCTGTAAAAAAAAAACAAAACCAGTGAAAAACCACTGAATAAAGAAGTCTGGGGCCAAGAGTCAGAGTCTTTCCATTGCAGTGCAGGGAAACAGGATGTTTGATGGGAGCTGCTGCTAAGCTGCAAGTAACAACCCATCAATGAGGGTTATGTTACAAGTTTTGTCAACAGTGTTTACATTATGAGGGGACTACTGAGGTCCCTTCACATAATAGTTCAATCCTCTTTTGGGGTCCTACTATTTTTTACTTTGCAGAGGATGTTCACTTTTTCACCAGCAGCTCAGTCAAATCTTTGCAATGGTAAGAAGGCATGTACTCACAAGTAAAAGACAAAGAAAAAAAACAACATCTTCAATAGCTGGCTGTTTCTTGCAGAGTTTCTTAGTTATTCTATCCAAGCATATTTTTGAATACACGTTGCAGTCTCTTATTATCCAACAGCCATATCGAACGCTGGCTAAAAATACTGATGTGAAATGTGAGACTGCTCTCTAATGAAAAATTGCATCCAAGAACATATTATGCAGGCATTTTTAATAATATAGTTGGATGCATGGCTGAGGGAGACTGGCAACATACACTGCAGGCATCCGGGTAATAAAACAGAGAATTTGGATGGAATGCCCCTGTGTGGTGACCACAGCTTTTTACAGTCAGGCTGAATGGTGCCTTTGTGCAGCTGTGCCCAGCTGGCCGTTCAGGAAACCTCAGTCCTCGCTCCACAGTCTAACTTCTGCAGGAACACAGACGTCTGCACACAGGCCACCTTTTTATTTTGGGATTCACACTGGGAACAGCCTATATGCACCATGCTTATAGTGTCAATGCTCTACTCTGTTCTGAACAATGTCATCAAAAATTATTGTGCAATTACTTCTATCTGTACTTTTTTTGAATTACATGACTGGGACATGTTGTAACTACTTATACAAACAAACCTAGACTTGGATTACGTTTGTTACCAATTGTTAATCACTGTATAAAGAGTGTTTGTTGTTTTTTTTCTTAAATTCTGATGGCAGCCAAAGTCTCGTCAGACCAAAAAAAGATGGCTTTGATTGACATAAGAAGGGTGTAACTCTACACTGCTGTCCAAGCATCACAATTAAAGCAAAATTATCTGCAATTTCATTTTATAATAGCATTATGTGACAGGATGCTGGTTTATAATAGGTGCAACGGCGCCTCTTCGCTTCAAACAGCCCTGTCACTTAGATAGAGCAGGTACGATCTCTCACAGAACTACACTATATCTTTCTGGCAGAACACTTGAAAGCAAACAGCGACTATTATCAGCACAAGCTTGTACTTTAACCATTGAAGCAGAGGCAAGAAACAGAAGTGTTGACAGAAAGAGAGTGAAAGTGGATGTGCGCGAGGCCAAACAGTCAATGAACTGGTCTTTAAAACTCCAGCCAAACAGACAAAAACAGCCAAACCGGCTTTTTCAGGCTCAAATTTGCCCTAAGCATGAAACTTGATAACTTATCATTTTGGAGCTCTATTTTGGTCACCACCAACTCAGAGAGAAACATCCAGCCCTTAAAAGCTCCAATCTATCATTGCTTGTGATGAATTGGGAAAATGATTCGTCTGCACATGGATCTGCAAAGAAGGCTGAAAATACTGGAGTTTGCAAGCCAGAGCCATGGTTTGGGGCATATTTCTTTCAATTAAAAACACTGCTGACTGCACATAAAAGTATCTCCAACATAGTGAGTAGCACAAACAAACAAGAAATATACGCGTGTACAAATGGGGCTTTGACTTTACCTCTTTCCAAGTATCCCAAAAGTGATCATTTGCACAGTAACAGAAATGGTGACGCCTCCAAAAGAGTCCGCTCTAGGGCTGATATCTATTGCCATTATCACATTGTTGATTTTTTGATAATAATAATAATAATAATGTTAACAAATAACAATTTAAAAACACTTGGTTATGTTAATTGTTGCCACAGGAGCTTTTGGATTTAGGCCCAGCCGTCTTTAATTAGTAGGAAAGAAAAAATAAACAAGATCAATATTATTATTAGCTCTGGTGCCTGACTCTGAACATGCCTGATGTAGAGGAAAAGCCATAATGAAACAATCGTTTCGCAATTTCTATTCAATAGGTTTCCAGGATAATGGCCTTGAACATCAGCTGTCTGCAACATTTATGACAACTACTGCTGATAATTTAGCAATTAGTTTGCTCATTTCTACAACTAGGCTCCCAATTAGCACAAGTAGCACAAACAAACAAGACGTATACATGTGTAGAAATGTGGCTGTGAATTTACCTCTTTCCAAGTATCACCACAGTGATGGTTTGCACAGTGACAGAAAAGGTGACGCCTCCTAAAGAGTCCACTATATGGCTAATATCTATTGCCACTATCACATTGTTGTTTTTTTTTTATAACAATAATAATAAAGCTAACAAATAAAAAAAAACACTTGGCTCTGTTAAATATTGCCACAGGAGCTTTTGGATTTCTGCCCAGCCATCTTTAATTAGTGAGAAAGAAAAAATAAACAAGATAGATATTATTATTAGCTCTGGTGCCTAACACTGGACATGCCTGATGTACTGATTGATTGATTGAAGTTATTTTAAATATTGTAATAATAATAATAATAAAAATCATCATAATAATAATAATCATAATAATTATGATAATAATGAAGTAAAGAATACAACAAAAAAATGACAAAAAGTTATTCATGTTCAAAAAGGAGTGGGAAGAGGTCGAGACTTATTTAGTCCCACCCCTTCTCCTGCACTAATGGTTTAAATATATATCATAATATAATATAATAATATTAATCATCATATGCCAACTATGTAGAGGAAAAGCCATAATGAAACAATAGTTTAATGATGTCTATTCAATAGGTTTCCAGGATAATAGCCTCAAACATCAGCTGTTTATAACATTTATGACAACTACTGCTAATAATTTAGCACTTTGTTTGCTCATTTCTACGACTACGCTCCCAAATATTTCCTGGTTCGGTGCTTTATTTGTCTTAAACATAAATAGTCTTTGAGGGCTGGACTGTTGGAAGAGTAAATTTATCCTTTACACAAACCTTTAGGCCTCAGGGAATTATGATTTGCATTTTGGACCTTACTGGACAGTTTAATGAACTGTGGAAAACAGCCTGATAAAATCAGCAGCCTGGTGGAAGTAGGCTCAGTGCTTTACTATAGGCCCCACTTCTCACCAAATGTAATGTACAAACTTTTTAAAAGTTTCACAAAAGTCATGCAGACGAAACAAAAAGTGCTAAAAAGCAGCGAGAAAGAGGCAGTCGAGCGCTGCACACAGGCTGCAGAGAGCCCGGGGACATGAAGTGTGAGGCCGTACAGTATCACATTACAATAACATACTCTCAAAGCCCTCGAGCCCCAGGCCCCCCCTCCGTTCACCCCCCTCCCTCCTCGGAGCATCGCGTGAGAGCAGCAGCCGACTCTCCAACTTGATTGTGATTAATGCGCGAGGGCAAGATATCCATGCCAGATCCGAGCTCGACACATTCTTAAGGTGGTCCGCACAACAAGTGGGAAACAAACCAACAGGAGACCTTCATAGACAATCATAAGAACATAGTTTAGGTTTCACAGTGGACAATACTCAAAATTATCCAAAAATTGTACTTGATTTGGATACACAAGTTTGACTTCTCGATTGTTGAAGTTACTCAGGTCTGCGCGACCTTAACGCAGGTTAACTTCGTTTTCCTTGATATTCGTATCGTAAAAACTGTCCAAGTGTTGCACATATCGCGAAAAAGACTCGAAAGAAACTAACCTCTCAGCCATTCAAGAGAAAAATCAGACACAGAATTAAAACTTTTCACGCAATATGAAATGAAATATTAAACATGTTCCAGTGTGTGAAACCTAAAGTGCGATTTATTGTATTTGACCCACTTTTTCCTCAATTAGTTCAAATAGCTTTTTGACCTATCTAGTGTCTTTGTTGGCACACATTGATCAGCCATGAAAAAATTAAATATATATCAAATATTACGTAGGTCTGTCTTGCTTAATAAAATATCTCTTATAGGAAGTTATGACTGCAAAACTTCCCAAAACAAGGAAAATGTGTTGACTAAAATGTGACTAAAATGATTTACTAAATGCAGAGTGCACAACTGCATCTTTCAACTGAATTTAAACTTTTTAAGTAGTTTTAAACAGGAAAAAAAAAGATATTGCTAAAAGTAGGCTAAAATAAAGCAATAACCCAGCTTAGCATTACATTTATTTTCTTTTCTGTTCAACTTGAGCTACTGAATCCTACATTAATATAGTTATTTTTGCTCTTTCATGAGTTTTTGACAGGTCTTACTGTTTGAGCATGGGCTTCTTCCTCTTCTTGTTCGCATAAGACCCTTGGCTTCCCAACATCTTGTCAGCTCGTGTTAACGCTCACAAACTCGATATCACTCTTGTATTATGCTCCTTCTTCACTTCCTCAGACAGCCTTTCTCCATGCACACGGTGATCCTCCGAGTTGTCAGCCTGTTAATGAAACTCCCATGCCAGAAACCAGCCGGGGTCCGCGGAGGTTTGCAGCCGCGTTGATGACGCCTGTACGGGGACTCTCCAGCTGACCTTTGTCGGTGGAGCGGAGCGGTGAGATTGAGGCGGTAAAGTGGGTGAAAGAGTGGGTATTAAAGTCTAACTTAAGAAACTCCGAGGCAGGATCAGACAACGTCCCACCCCCAGTCTTTGGATACACAACACAAGCGTATTTTTTTTTATCATCCAGAGTCACTTGAGTTTTCCTTCTTTCCCTCGCACGGGGCGTTTTCAGGAAATGTGTACACACACTGTATGTTCATGCTGTCAGAGCTGACTTTTAAGGTGGACTGGAGTCAAAGTGACTGTGGAGCATGAAACTTCAGCTTCTGCTTTTGTAACATGCTGAAAGGGTAGTGATTTTTTTTCTTCTTCTTGGGTTGGTTTGAAGAAAATGTTCTTGGGTTGCTCACTCTGACCACAGGAGGAGATATTACTGAAAAGTTTCCACAACAACTTTCATCATATCTGATGCACGTCAATCATCTTGTTTTATAACTTCCTAAATAAGCATTTTCATTTTTCAGCTGTTCTGCTACATGCTTTTGCAGTCATACATTTCAAATGAAGCTGTGCTTTATATGCAAATTAAATCAGGTGTTTCTTTGTGCATTTCTTTTTTAAAATAAACCAAAACTAAGACATTTATGTTTTTTTTTTCAAGTTCAACCCCAATTCCAGAAAAGATGGGACACTATAAAATGTTGACAGAATTTTTATTTATTTATTTACGGTTTGTAAATCCTTCAATCTGGAGAAACATCTGGTAAATGATTACATTAATTTTCCAACAGGGTGGTAGGGGAGAGTGGGGTAAGTTGAGTCACCCCCTGTTGCTTGGAAATGGTAAAAAAAAAAAATGATCATGTGACCAAATATTTAGGAGATGGGCATCAATTCATGGAGTCTGTGAAGGTTAGAAGCACATGGGTGAAGGGGTTAGACATTTATTTACAAAAACACATTTTTCATGAGAGACTGTGTGAGCAAACTTTCAGTGATTATAAAAAAAAAAACTGCAAAAGCCTGTGAGGATTTCATCACCCAACCACAAACCAATAGAGGCTGGTTGTGATCCCGTGGCCTTCAGGCAGCACAGCATACAAAGCAGAATTGACTCTGTCGCGGAAATTATAGCACGGTCTCATAAAAGTGAAAATGAAAATAAAATAACTGTGCAGGTTAAAACTGTACCGTACAAAGAGAAAACCAGAAGCCTGTAGGTTTGAGATAGACTGAGGTCAAGTGGAAACATCCTGTGGTCTGACAAATCTTAGACCTAACAACAGCATCGCTCTGTAGTAGAAGAGTCCTGGTGCTAAACTCGGTCTGCCTGCTGTCCTGACTTGCCCCTGTCCCAACTTTTTTGAAACTTGTTGTTGGCATCAAACTTAAAATGAGCACATATGTTTCATAAAACAGTATTTCCTAGTTTGAACATTTAGTATGCTGTCACTGCACTATTTTAAATCAGAAACATACTTTAAATTATTTGCAAACCATTAAATCCTGTTTCTATTAGCATTTTACATGGCCTCACACCTTTTTTGGTATTGGGCACAACAAAGACAAACCCTGAGCGATCTCAAGCTGAAATAGACTCAAGCGTTTTGTTGAATAAAAGGTAGCTGTTGTATTCTGGTATGATGACTGACAGGCACAGAGTTTTGTCTGAGGTCCAAAAGCATCAAACCAGTGAGCGCTTTGAGATGAAAACCAGAGTACAACAATTTGTTTAACAGGCCTAAACTGTGCACGCACATACCCAATAATTCATGTGGACAACATCACAGTACTCCTGTTTGTGATATGGTGGTCGAGTACTTCAAATCTTGGTCAATAATGTGCTTGGATTAATAAAAGAGCTTGTGGAAATGGTTTTCACGGGATTTAGGATTAATATTTGTTTAATTTCAGCCACAAAAACGTGAGACTGAAAGATTTTTCCTCCATAGTGGACTTGAATCTCTTCCACACCAAACTTCAAACTTCAAACTCGTCTTTTTTCTTTATGAACCTGGCTTTGTTCACAGGGTCTTTGTCATGTTCAAACAGGAAGGGGCTTTCCCCCAAAGTGCTGCCAAAACATTGGAAGCATGCTATTGTCTAAACTATCATTGTATTCTGCAGAAATAAGACTTCCTCCTAAATTTCTCGGAACTACGGAGCCAAGCCTGAACCACAGAAACCCCAGAAACACATTCAGACCAAAATTTTTCCAACGTGTGGACAGAAGAGTGGACATTAAAATCATAGTTCACTGTATTTCAAAGCAGGTTCTGTGAATGCAGAGATGAACCCTATTAGGCCCTTTTCCACATGTGTTAATTTCGTAAGTATGCACTAAATCAGAGACTCTCCTGCGGCCAACAAACAGGCTGTAATGTCTGCCATGTCAACTTTTGGGCAAAATCAGGAGAGACAATGACCTTTGCCTTCAAGTTTTTATCTATGGTGATTATGTCATGTTGAATTTTTGGGCAGAGTCTCTACAGAGAGTTAGGGTGATTGGAGGGTTTCTGCCTCCAGCGGTGGAGTCCAGACTCTGGCGGTGGAGGTGTTGGCAGATGATGCATCCAGAGGCCGATGAGATGATGACGCTGAAGAAACTTGCAAGGGCTGGGCGAAGTTAAGGTTATGACCGATGATGTCATGTGAGTTTGATTAGATGGAGAGGCTGATGAAACTGATGATTGTGAGAAAGCCAGGCGGTTGATGGGGAGGATGAGGAGTGCACTAAATATTGGAGCCCTGATATTACATCAAAAAACAGCTGCATGGTAACAATGATATCATAACACTCAGGGGTGTTGCAGTGCTTTTGGATAAATGTGACCAGATTACCCTTCCTCCTGTGTTAGCTTTTACTACGCATCCATCATGTTAAGGGTTAGTTTTGACCCGTGTCTTAAATCAGTTGTAAATGACGCTAAAAACAATTCTCTATCATCCAATTTGGTTCTCATCTCTAGGTTAACTTGTTAGGCTTCATTATCCATGAAAATATTGCTTATAATAGTTTTTGTTTGGGGCCTCTGGGCCTTTCTTTGTCAGTAAACCCCTCACACAGACATCTATACTGAATTAATCTCACGTCTGGACATGCCTGATGTATTTTGTGCAGGGAAAAACCAGGCAAAATGAGAATTTCCTAAATCTCACATGATTGGAAGAGGATCTGACTGTCAGTGTGGTGCCTGACAGTGCACTTAACAGCGACCTTAACACAGTAAGTGCCATAATTCTAATAAGAGCATTTTAAAATTGAGTCAATTTATTTTTATTATTTTTATTTTGTTGAAAATAAAAAAGTCTTGATGCAAAAAAGCTTAACGGGTCAGTGCAGATCCTAACAAAGGAGGAGGGTTATGAGAACAGTAGTGCAGAACCTAACAAAAGGGGAGGGTTACAAATACAGCTTAACCACAGCTGGTGCAACAGGTCTCTGGATTAGAAATGCAGGAAAATCTCTGTTGGTGTCTACTGATGCATCGAACAAAATAAGTGTTGCTGTCCCCAGCTACTAAAATTTTAAACATTACACTGTAATAGGTACAAATTGCTTAAACTGATGCAAAAATCCAACATTTCCTGAGGTTATCGTTCAACATTTTACAGGTGATGTAATCATGTTTCTTTTATTCTCTCCACATTCCAAAATGACGCTTTTATTTATCTTCGCTGACATTTGAAGTAGGTCATTTAGAGGTAATTGTTATCGCCTCACCTTAGCTGCATGTAAGTGACAGCAGGAGATGTGCTGCAGACAGTTCCCATAGCAACCATTCACACCCAGAACTCCCCTCTGTAAACAGTGGTGTTTATCTTGGGTGTACTGTTCTTCTTCCTCATATCAGCCGTCTGTCATCTGCTGTCACACTGTTTTACATTTGTCATATCCTCACACGATCAACTCTTCTTCCCTTTAGGAAAAAAACAGCACTTTACTTTTAATCAGAAGACAAAAACAAAATGTATTTTATATTTACTTATCACACTGTTGCCCATCTATTTCACGTGTAATTTAAACCCTTGACTGTTTTCAACAAAATACAGCTTTGTTTGGATTTTGCAGTCCCTAGTGAGTGACTGTTTGGTGTTTTTTACATTCACACTTTAATTGTTCGTGGCACTATTTGCAAAACACACACTATTTGTTTTCACAATTAGCATCTGAATAAGCAGAAAGCTGTTACACAAGCACCTAGCAACAACTGCAAAGAGGAAAACATGTAAAAATGAGGAGAGCAGATGTTTTGTGTGTTTTTATCAGGCACTTCAGGAGAGACGGAGGTTTATCTCTGACAGCTAACATCCTATTTTACCTGCTGGATGAGGGGGAGTTACCTGAGGTGGAGGCAGAGCCGGCCCAAGGCATAAGCGAACTTAACGCCTGCTTAGGGCCCCGAGGCCAATAGGGGGCCCCCAAGAGCAATCCCAAATTTTTTTTGCATGTATGAGTGATTCTTTCTGGATGATCAAATGTGTATTATTGTAAAAATAAACTAATATAAACATTTTAGTGCTTCTGCTGATGTCGGCCTATGATTCTTACTGCCGATGTGTTGAAGCTGGATGACTTTGCACTTTCTAAAACCAGTTTATTATGAATCCAAAGACAACATTAAACCTTAAGCCTTTTGAAATTAACTCAACATTTCCACGTTCCTATTGATCTTTTAATTGGCTCACTCAGTCCTGTTACCTGCGATCTACCAGAAGCACTATACTTCAAAATTAAAGTATTATTGTACATTCAGGAAATAAAGTAACCCAAAATCAAGACAGAGCAAACATCAAAATAAAAGCATGACAAACAAACACAATGTCAAACAATAAAGAGAAGTTATGGTCAAAGAGTTGAAGATAAATCATTTATTTAGACATTATTGCAGACTGAATATGACATGTAAGGTATTGTTTATTGCCTCAATTTGTCCAAATATAGTTTTATTTTGAAGTTTTATTTTACTACTATTATTGTAGGGCTGCATGATTATGGCAAATATCATACTCATGATTTTTTTGACTGATACTGATATCAAAAGCAATTATCAGTGATTTGATGACTGTATCACAAACATTTATGAAACTAAAATCTTTTTGAAACTTAAAGACTCTTGTTTTTATGGTCGCCATTTTCACAGTTTGACAGCCCTCTGCTTTGCAACTCCCTCTGTGATTGAAATCTGTGCCAAAAGCACACAGACTCAACAGGTAATGTAATGTTGATATAATTC